TTACCGGAGATGGAGTTGTCGACGGCACTAAATCTGCAAAAAAGGTGTGAACCCTGTGTGTGTGTGTGTGTGTGTGTGAGAGAGAGAGAGAGAGAGAGAGAGAGAGAGAGAGAAGTGAGCTTCTGCGGTGGAGCAGAGAGGAGGGTTTCAGACAGGAGGAAAAAGCTGAAAGGAAGGACTGAAATATTTGAATATGGAAAGGCGTGCTTTATTAAAATAATTACTAAAATAGGCAGTGAACAAAAATTATGTTAATTAAATAATTAAATGCTTTGTCCAATAAAAAAAAGGTATTAATTAAATGAAAATGAAACCTCTCAATCTCAACCATTATGATTCAAAACACAGATGTTTTTCTTTTTTTAAATAACTAGTAATTGTACCCGTGCGATGCACGGGACAACAAATTACATTGTTTTGATGTTGTAAGAATATAAACAAACGTTTGATGTATCGTATGATCAAAATTCTATTATACTGGAACATTATTAAGTATACTACACAAAAATTAAGAAACAAAAATAAATATAAACAATAAATTAAATATCGCATACAAACAATAAGTCTTGAAGGTCGACTTCCAATAGCTTGTGGCTCCGCCCATTTTTGGTTAATTTTCTCAAATCATCCATTTCAATAACATGTCCAATAACATATAAAATGAAATAATTGTTACATAAAATTTGAAAACTTTGGTATAAATTAATGAAACACATAATTTAACAAAATGAAATTACCTATAAGCCATGATGGAAAGAAATGTAAACTAATTGCCACACAGTCAATAGGATGAAGAAGAATATAAGAAACAAAATCTAAAGTCGGGTTACCAAAAGAAGAAGCCTTAGGTAGGGAAGAAATAAAATTCAAATGTTGCAGACATTCTGTAAAACGATGTCACAAAATCCGCTAGGGATGAAAATTAGATTTATTTACCCTTTTCTGTAAAAATCGAAAATCAGATTATTATAAATAATATCTAGGAGAATTTGATGAAAATCGATAATAATATTTAAATAAAAAATCAAAAAATAATATTTAGGAGATAAAAATCAAAAATAAAATTTAAAATAATAGTTAGGAGATAAAAATTTGATAAAAATCGAAAATAATATTTCAAATAATGTTAATGAGATAAAAGTTGATAAAATACGAAAATAATAATTAGAATAATATTTAGGAGATAAAATATGATTAAAATCAAAATTATTATTTAAAATAATATTTAGGAGATAAAAATTTGATAAAAATCGAAAATAATATTTAGGAGACAATAATCTGATAAAAAACAAAATTAATATTTAGGAGATAAAAAACTAATAAAAACATGATAAAACTCGAAAAAAATATTTAAAATATTATTTAGGAGATATAAATTTGATAAAATTCGAAAATAATATTTAGGAGATAAAAATCTGCTTAACGTTGAAAATTATATTTAAAATTATAGTTAGGAGATATGAATTTGATAAAATTAAAAAAATATTATTTATAATAATATTTAGGAGATAAAAATTTGATAAAAATAAAAAATAATATATAGGAGACAAAAATCTGATAAAAATAAAAAAATAATATTTAAAATAATATTTAGGGGATACATATATGATAAAATTCGAAAATAATATTTAAAATAATATTAAGGGGATAAAAATTTGATAAAAGTTGAAAAAAAATTACAAATATGACATTAGGGTTTCTTAGGGTTGCCCTAGCGTTTCTTTCTTTTATATATAAGATATAAAGTAGAAATTAAAAACTTGCAAATCTATGAACAGTTTATATCAGACAATGTTGATATTATGAACCTTTTTAATTATAAAAAAAAAAGATATTATGAACCTTTTTCTCTTATCAAAAAATAAAAATAATAAAAAGATATGAAACTTTTTCTTTTGTAACATCATACAACAAAACCACAACAGTCAAATCAAGAAAATTCGAGAAAAAAGCCATAATACATCAATCATTATTCAATAATTTAATTATTTTATTTAAATAATAATTTATTTATGTTTAATCTTGGTGATTATTTCAATAATTTAACAATTTTTAAGTTTATCGAATTTTGTGAGTTTTATGTACAAATTTACAGAGGTTTAATTGAAAATATGGCTTGATTTCATTTTACATCCTCAAAATACATCGTTCTGACACTTTACACCGATAAAAATAATTTATGACACTTTGCACCCTCAAGATTTTGAGGCTGCAGCCATAAATTATTTTCGAGAGTGCAAATTACAAAAATTGTATATCTTGAAGGTGCAATGTGGAATTAAGCCCGTAAATATTAATAATTCAGTAAAAATGGGTTAAATAGTGGGGCCCCAAATGGTTGGAGTAAAATTTCCTGCAATAATGAAAAAGCCCAATGGTTTTTCCGAAGTGGGCCCCAAATCTTTTATGATCAAAGTTGAATTTTACTGAACAGTCCTTATCTCCAATATTACACAGTAATAATACCAAAAAAATAAGGACAAAATGCACTTAACCCCCTACAATTTTTTTATTTTTGCACTTTTCCCCCTAAAAGTTCAAAAGCAAGATAATCACCCTTCAAAATATTATTTTGGTGGGCATTGTGCAAAAAAAAAATCTAAAGGGCAAATATACAAAAAAATAATGTTTTTAAGGGGTAACGTGCAACAAAAACAACAGATAAAGGGGCTATGTGCAACAAAAATACTCAATTAATATGAATAATCCATCAAAATTTTGACATGGGGGCAATGTGCAACAAGAATAACATTTTGAAGGGAACATTCACTTTTTAAAAATTTGAGGGGTGAAGTGCAAAAAATAGATTTTTTTAGGGGAAATGTGCAATTTTCCCAATAAAATTTCTATATTTATTTTGTGAAAAAAATCATGAAATTTTATTTTAGTGTTGAATAAATATTATTTTTACAGTCAATAAGTTATGATTAAAGGAATAAAAAATTAGAAGGTTCAAAATTTTATAATTAGGGTTTTTCGAAAAAAAAAATTATAATTATGGGGGTTTTATTCTAATTCTTCATCATAATTAAGCTATATATACAATTGTGCATTATTGATGTGGAATATTAAAATATATTAATATTAATTAATGGAGCTTCCAACTAATCTATTATTAATTTATTGATTAAAAATTAAAGTAATTATTAATCTGAAGGCAGGAAGAACCTTCATAAATAAATATTCTTAAACACAACAAACTATTGTACGTTAATAATACATAGATTCCTTTTTGCTAATCATTTCATCATGCGACTTCAAATATCCTTTTTTTAGTTATTATTTCTTTAAAATAATTTAGTACTTCTTTAGTAACATGCATGCTTCTAAGTTCACACGTACTTTAATTATATTAATTAATTAATTAATTATATATATATATATATATATATGAAACATGCTCAAGTATTTAAATTTGCATTTCCTTTTTTTTTTTTTCATTGTAGGGGCGGAAATTGGAACATAATTTCTTAATTTCGTCGATTCTAATCTAAATATTTTCATTCCAAATTCTAAAATTCATTCTTCTTTTCAATTTTTTAGGGAATGAAATTGGCGAACATATTAGATTCTGATTTCCGATTTCCGTTTCGATTTTAATTTCCAAAAGTTTGAATTATTTTTTCAAAAAATTACATTTAGAATATCAATATTATTATATATTTTATACTATAAATGGCTTAACTTTTGAAAACTTTGAATTCCACCCATACTATTCCAAAATTTTCAATTTTGGAAAAAAAAAAGAATTTATTCCAATTTTCGATATTTCCAACATTCTAGAACGGAATTGGAATTAGTTCTTCATTTTCGATTCGAAAAAAAAAATGTTAATTCCAATCAGGTCCTTCCAATATGTGGAAGAAAAAAAAATACAAACTTTAATGAATAAAAATGTCACAAATTATTAAAGAAAAAACAAAACAAATCTTCAAATATTCCTATTCCTTGTTTGGCTAATTACAAAACAAACCAGCAGCAACAGCACGATTATTGTCAAAATAAGTAGTTTCATAAACCGGAAGTTCTTGACAAAAAATATTAGTATTCCCAAACAAAACCAAATGATCCAGCTCGAATAAATCGGAACTCGAATCACTAACTCCATCTTCGTCGTCAATTTCTTCGAACATGGAAAAATCACTCCTCCTTTGATTAATATTCCGATTTCTAGCCAATGCATTTGGCGGCAAAGGTGGCCTTCCGTATAATTTTCGATCATTATCGTATACGATACTCTTGGGCCGACACGGCGAATCTTGATCCTCCGAAACGGGACGACCAACGGGATGAAATCTGACCGTCGGTTGATTAATCCCAATTTCATTATTTCTCATAATTGATGATGAATGCTTGCTCAACCGCGACGAAGGAGAAGTAGTCGACGACGACGGCGTAGACGATGACGTCACCTTTGAAGACTGCTGCTTCGGATCTTGTTTTTTGGTTTTTTTATTATTAGAATTCAAATTGGTGAAGAGTGAGTTGATGAATTCGTTAGCCTCTTCCCGGGTGAAATCGGCTGCTTCATTTTCTTCAATTTGGTGTATACTTTCAGTGCCCTCGATTTTGACTTGTCAATGATGGCTATCTTCTTCCATGAATTGGGGATTAGGTTTACAATTAGGGTTTGTGCTGTACGGACGATTGGAAACCTCGGATTTTGCTGTGGAGTCAAATGAGAGATCTTTGTCGTTGTTTCGAGCCAAACAACCCCTTGAAAATCTCGCTGCTGCTGTTTGTTCGTGGTGATTTCCGGTGCTGCTTCTTCTGCCGCCATTGTTGGACCTTAAACCAGTGGCTGGTTTTTCTCTGTGGGAGCCAGGATTTATTTCTGCGCCGGCTTTTTCAGCATTTCCGCCGCCGTCGATTGAGCGGTAGATTTCGTCGAGGAGTGTGGAGGAAAACGACGGCGTATTCCGGTGGCATTTTTTAGGTTTGTGATTCTCCTCTCTGGATGGTTTTGCTCTGCAATACATTGTACGGATTGAGCAATGGCTTTGAGAGAGAGAGAGAGAGAGAGAGAGAGAGAGAGAGAGAGAGAGAGAGAGAGAGAGAGAGAGAGAGAAGTTCTGTAGGAGAGAGAAAGTTGGAGAAGGCTTGAGATTTTGAATGTATAGAGAGAGAGGGGGATATATAAAGGGGTTGGAGATTAGGGGGTGTTTGGAGGGGTCTAATTTAAGCTAATGCCAAACTTTGCAAAATCAGTACTGTAGTATTATTATTAGGGTTAATGACACTTAGCCCCCAAATTATTATGCATTTTGCACGTTACCCCCTGGACTAAAAAAAATTGCACATGGCTTCCTGAACTCGTTATTTTGCAGCACGTTGCCATAAATTGTACATTTTCAGGTCAATTTGGGCGGAAGTCGCAACAGGTGAGTTCCATGAGAGAATTTTAAGGGCTTAATGGTCATTTTTCCTAGGGTTATGTGCAGTGAGAAAGGCATATGTGTTTTAGTATTGAAATGACCATTTAGCCCTTAAAATTCTCACATTGAACTCACGTGTTACGACTTCCGGTCAAATTGGCCTTAAAATTTGCAATGTGTGGTAACATGCTAAACAATAACGAGTTCAGGAGGCTATGTGCAATTTTTTTTAGTCCGGGGTAACGTGCAAAATGCGCAATAGTTTGGGGGGCAAAGTACCATTAACCCTTATTATTATGCATAAATCAGCAAAATCAAAATTATTATTTTCATTTGAAAAAAAAAGTACATATAACGTGGAAATTAAAGTGTAGATAGTTATTATTGTACACTAGTACATATTTATTTTATTGGGATTTATTTATTTGTGAAAGTGGGAGTTTAGTGGGAAGCAATTACATAATCACTTGTGTTTAAATGTACCAATACTTGTAATAATTCTAATAACATAATTCTAAAAGTCTAATGACTTTTGGGAATCAATAATTGGGAAATTTTAAACGTCAAACAATTTAATGTGTAATTTAGGTGACTATTTAATTGTTGTGGGTGGTGATTGGATTATAATATAATATTATTGACCTTAATTGTTAATTAGTTAATGATATAAAGATTTGTGTAATCAAGATTTTATTTTACTCGATTATATGTTTTGATGATGGCTTTTCTTTATACAAGAAAACACTTCACATTGTACGATTAATGCTCTAATTATCCTTTTTCTTATATTTTCTTTTGCAATTTGTACATAAAATATTGGGGGATTTTAGCACTTACTATCCGTGTGTAATCTCTAATTCTATAAAAAAAAACCATATGTTAAAAAATATTAGCAAAAACCCCCTATAAAATTTAGTTAAGGTCAATAATGTTCTCGAAAGCCATTCACGCGCTATACTCGCGAACATATTTTTTGACGTGAAAAAATCCAAATACCTTTTAAATTAAAACTATATATATTAATTTGATTTATATTTCTTATTTTTCTGGGTTTTCTTCTTATGTGGAGATAATATTTTTGTTTTCAAAATTAAAATAGTATTAAACAATACAAGGGAGATTTCGTCTTTTCATCTAAGCAACAACTAAATTTGATATGGGGCGCGATGTGCAAAATAAAACACAACTTATGAGGTTATGTGCGTATTCTACACCAGGAGGGTTTTTTCGCACATTCGAAATAACACAAGGGAATTTGTGCTAATAGCTTAAAATATTGTCAAAAACAACATATATTTCATTAATTGGATGACACAATCCAATACTATAAAAATGTATCTTCTTTGTTTCTTCCTCAATCAAGAATCATATGTAGGTAGTGTCTCGTTTATTTTTTAAGTATTCGCATGTATTATTATATTTCAATTGTTTGGATAATTCATCTATGAATCATTCAATTGTTTTAAAATAGGCGGTTGCACATGCTCTTACCAACTTATTCACTAACTTCCCTGCGTATTTAAGATATTCAAATAGGTTGGCTCTACGGATTTCTTCGTTACCAAAAAAAAAAAAAATTGAAACAGGAGATCAAACATTTTCTATAAATATTAATTAGGAAATGCATTATCTTGTAGTAACAAAAAGCTATTTTTGCTATATAGAGTGTTTTGCTAAATTTATAAACTGATAAAAAAGTTTCTAAGATGTTTACAAGCTTATCAGATATAAGAATTTATGAGATGTTTAAAATAAGTTTAACCAAACGAGCTCTCAATTGATATACATTGGTGAAAATTAGGTATTGGCCCCCCAATGTTCCTTAATAATTAATGGAAAGCTAATCATATTTATTGTTTAAGCAAGATCATAAATTCCGTAAGAAAAACTTTTAGTACGGAAAAGAGGAAAACCCATGAACTCGTGGTTTGGGCACGTTTTTAAATCAGTGGTCTGCCACTCATATGGTGCACGTGCATCACAGCTTTCACTTTCATGGTTGTACTGTCATTTGTCACGTGCGGTGTCATTATTACTCATTGCTCGGTTTTTTTCATCAACCATTTAAGAGACACTGAATATTTGGCTCTGCTGCCGAAGAAACAAAGAATTTATAGAAATTCAAAATCGGAAAACCAAGAGGGAAAAAGACAATTATATCCCTGGATTCGATTCGTTGAACTCGATTATTAATAGAGGTTCTTTCGAATGCATTATTATTTATTCGGAGTTCAATCTTTGGACATCTACCAGCTGGTAAAGATCGCCTCGTCTTTGCTTCTCTAATGGAAGGTTTGTTCTGTACGTAGTAAGTAACAAACAAACATAAATATATATATACATACACGAAATTCAGATTCAAAAAGAAGAAAAGGGGATTATGTCGTTAGTTTTTTCACCTCCTAAGTTCAATCTGCGAATAATCAATTTCTGATATGATTATTGCCTCGTCATGTTCGGTTGTGGCCAGCACTTCTCCAAACTGTCGGAAAAAAAAAAACGAATTTAGTTTTTACTACTTTTTTTATATTTAAGTTTATTTTAATATATCATTTTGTTTTTGTGAATATTTTTTTTTGTTAATGCATTGACTTACAGGGCCGACGAGTGTAGAATGACCCCAAGCAACATATCCAGCATCAGCATCTCGAGCAGGCGAACAAGTTGCTACGTATAACTGTCAAAATTATTGTCAGAAAAAAAGAAAAAAAAAATTGCAAGGGATACCATCTTGAGAATTTTAAAAAGAAATATATATATTTTCTTTAAATTCCGTTTTACCAAACCAACATCGGAAATAGATTCAAAACAATCAGAGATTGACAGCCATTAAATCAAAAGGGAAGATGAAATAATCGAAGATACCTGATTGTCCACAGCCCTGCAGATAAGTGTGAAGAGTATTAGATTATAAAATTAGATAAAATTCAGAAAAGATTACGTCTCGTAATTTAATCAAAAAATTACCGTGCCCGTTGTAGTAATTCCCAGTGCAGAGGTCCTGTAGTCATGTTGAATGCTCCAGGATAGCAAATCAATTGAGCACCTACAAAAATGACATTTTTACCCCCCAAAAAATCGTGAAATAAGAATTAATATCAAAAGCCAGTGAGCTGAATCTTTTGTCCTTGTTGCATGAAATCATTAATGTGTAGAAAATGATCACGCAATTATATTTAGAAGATAGATATAACTTCTTGGGTACACAGAAATAAATAAATAACGATATTTTAGTAGCGGACGAACCTCTTGCTGCATAAAGCATAGCCAGTTCTTGAAATCGAATGTCGTAGCAGATACCTATTCCAATTCGACCAACCTCTGCACGAAACAAATATCATTCGTTATCAAAAAAAGATGACATACACTATAATCAACACTTTGACGAGACAATTAAGTACAAAAATATGTTGATGCACAATTTTACACAGAAAAAAAAATTAAATAAAAAATATATCCAGAAAAAAGGAAAAAAAAAATCCATTCTTTATCCGTTCCTTTCGATTAAATACTGAGCACATACGACACATTGCAGGACTAAATACCCATTTTCAGTTAACTTTTTCATCGTGTATTTATAAAGATGTTATAAAGATAATATCTTGAGGTACGAAACTCTTTTTTCTGATGCCAAAATCGCACACATTTCCAATTAAAATATTAAATCGATCTAATGAATCGCATACCTGTGTCTACTGTAGTGGGAGTTTCTCCAGCTGTAAGAGTCTTCGATTCCTTGAACGTAATCTTCCCAGGAATATCGATATCAAAAAGATGTATCTGTTATTATCAAGTGTATTTACAAATAAGTACCGGTTGCCACATAATCACAGAAAAATTATATTACCCATGCAATCATACTTGTAAAAACCGTCAACAAAAAACGCTACATTTTATGTATGAAATATTGAAATTCTGTTGTCAAGCTATAAAATCCCGATTTCAATTTTTTTTTTCAGTGAATATTTCGATTGGATATTCGACAAAAGCAAGACTTATCAAGAAAATCAATAATCACCTTACGATGTTTAGCTTTCAGGTTTCCATCGGGTCCGAATACACAGCACGTGTTATACAATTTCCCGCCACTTTTTTCCGGAATCGAACCTCCGATTATCGTAATTTTAAGAAGACGCGCAACTTCAGACAACATTGCTGTCGATGGAGATGCATCGAAACCGGAATCAATATCCTCAGCATACACTGGAAAACTATCATTCGAGTATGGACTATTCCATATTTCCTGACAGAAAGAAAGCCCGTAAAAAGAAAATGTCTCATATCATTCACCGTCTTATTACACACTACAGTATGAGAAACAAGAAAACAGGTTGTTATGAGTTGACTCACGGGCAACACAACAAGCTTTGCGCCCTTCGCGGCAGCTTCCTCTAATGCAGTACGAGTATGTAAAATGTTCCTTAGCTTGTCGGCAGTTACTCTCAATTGGCATAATCCAATTTTAAACTAAACAAACACCAATTACAGTGGGCAACAATCCACTTTTAAATTTTCCATATACATAAATATATAAATAAAAAAATAAAAAATAAAAAATCCAAAATTAAATTAAATTTCTACATAAAAATTCACATATAAGAAAGAACCCTAATGTAGAACAACAAATCAAAATCCCCAATTGCAGTAAATAAACAACAATCAAGCTCAGGATTAGGGTAAATAAACAACAATCAAGCTCAGAAATAGGGTAAATAAACAACAATCAAGCTCGGAATTAGGGTAAATAAGCAACAATCAAGCTCAGAATTAGGGTAAGTAAGCAACAATCAAGCTCAGAATTAGGGTAAATAAACAACAATCAAGCTCGGAATTAGGGTAAATAAGCAACAATCAAGCTCAGAATTAGGGTAAGTAAGCAACAATCAAGCTCAGAATTAGGGTAAATAAACAACAATCAAGCTCAGAATTAGGTGAAATTACACACCCATACTCCCAAAATGATACGCAGATTATTAAAAAAAAAATAAAAAATCAGGTAAGATGTAGAGAGCGATGATGACCTTAGTGATGGGAGGAGTAGGCGATTGGATCGCTGGAGGAACCCGAGCTTTTTCCGGGTAGAAAGAGGAAGACATTGACGAAATTGAAGCAAATGGAGTAAGTGTAGTACGGGGGGTTGAATTGGGGGAGAGAGTTGTGCTTTGAGTGATTGTACGTTGAAGGAGGAGGTGAAATCGACGGTGGGGAAGGAACGAGGGTGTACGGAAGCGAGTAGCAGAGGATTGGAGAGTTAGAGAAGGAACTGTTGAGGAGAAGAAGAAGACTCTTGCTCTCATTTCTTTACCATCTCTTTCTTTACCACACTACTCCCTCCGTCCCAATTTAAATGTCTTTTTGGGTTGTTTTGCACATATTAAGAAAATCAATAAATGTGCATAGATTATAGTAAGAAAACAGATAAAATTACTAAATTATCCTCAACATTAATTGATTCTTAACTAATTAATTATGAGTGATTAAGGGTAAAATTGAAAATAATGCAATTAATGCTTTATTGAAAATCTAAAATGACAAATAATTTGGGACAAAAAAAACTCTCAAAAAAGACATATAATATGGGACAGAGGGAGTACCAAACAAGAAAACACAGAGCTTGGATATTAGAATAGGACGAAACTGTCTGATTTTGCTATTTTCTGGGGCAAAAAAGTATAAACAAATAAAATAAAGGGTAAATTACGGTCAACCCTTGAGGTAATGTCATATTACAAAAAAAAAAAAAAAAAAAACCTCTTTTGTTTAGGTAATTACAACAATTTCTACACGTCTACAGTGTCAAATTTAGTGGAATATTGTAGATTATGTGGAATATTCTCTAATTTGTACCCGTTTTATCTCATTCGAGCTCCATATTGTGAAACAAGATGATCATAATGTGTGTTTTTTGTCTTGTATATATCAGATTGTGGTGCATTATAAACTGCATTTTTGCATAAAACGAGTACAAATTAGAGAACATTCCACATAATCTAGAAGATTCGGTTGAATTTTAACATCATAAGGTTGGATGTGTAAAAAAATTCATACTTGAGGTGGCTAATTACCTAAAGAAGAAGAGTTTTTTTGGTAATTTAAAACCTTACCTCAGAGGTAAGATATTTAACCAACTATTAAAATAGTAAAAGATAATAGATATATATATCTACATTAAAAAAATATTATAAACACATAAAATTTATTACTTTTAAATTTTAAGTTAAATTACTCATTTCAAAATAGATATAAATTCAAGTTTCAACATCCTATTATAAAATAGGACACAAAATATAATTGCTCATTAAATAACATCATCTAAGGTGGTGTTTGTCTAGGCTTATAAGATGTTAAAGAGCTTATAAGCTCTTCTAATATGTTAGGTAATTTTTTTAAAAAGATCTTTAAAATTCAAAATATAAGTTGTTGAAGTTTTTTAAAATGTACATTTACCCCAACTGCCTATTTAGTTAAGATCTTATAATGAGTAAAAATATCTTGTAAGAGTATTATCTAAATACTTGAAAAAAATAATTCTAAAAATAAAACGTAACAACTTATCAACTCTTAAAACAACTTACCAGATGTAAGAGTATGTAACAGTTTATCAGCTGTTTAAAATAAACTTTAGCGAAATGGGCCTTAAGTTCAATTTCGAATACCTAATTTGTAAAAATATTCGATCACTCATAAATTTAAAGATTAATGTCACTTAAATCGTCCTCATCCGCCAATTTTAAAGGATTGCCTTTATCATTATCAATCGCAAAATTCAGTAAAAAAACGCCTTGATGAATCGCAAAATTAAAATCGCAAGAATCTATAGAAATTGAATTAGGGTTATGATATTGTAAGGATTGGTGAAGAGATTGAAGAGAAAAGTGTGAATTAAGGTTGGGGTATTAAAGAAATTTGTTCAAATCCATTTTTCAGAGCAGCTGAATGCGTTTCTTCTTTCTTTTCGTTTTTTTTAATCGTCGACTAGTATCGTAAATATCGTATCGTATCGTGATACGACGATACGATACGATATCTCGCGGTATTGAACGGTATTTATCAATAACCGATACAGAACCCGAGTTGTATTGTTTTGATTGGAACCGTACCGTATACCATGGTGGAAAGAAATGGCTCATTTAACTAAAATTCTTTTACCAATATTTATCATGCTTTTTTTTATATATAGATATTTATATATATCAAGTCATCATATACATAAAGTAGAGTTAAAAGAGAAAAAAAAAATTGTATTTTTTTGGGATAAAATGAAAATAAATATTTAAATTTAAACCATGTTGTTTTGCTTAGTGATGTCATGGATGATGTCAATTTCATTGTCCAAGTCTTTTTGTATAATAACTTTCTTCCTGAAGAGCTGACAAAGCTGGTCTTATTAAACATATTTATTTTTTGTATTCTTCTTTTTGCCTTTTTCAATTATTTTAATTATTTCTTTTTATCCTTAAAATCATATTAATAAATCTTTTATTCTGTATGAAGATTAATTCACCTGTTGATGTCAACTATTCTTGAAAATAATATAACTAAAGGGTCAACTTTTTTCTGATTGGAGCACTTCACATCTTTGATAAATCAATTAAAAAAAAAAAAAAAAATTGCTTTTGACCTGTCACAAAGTAATAGTGCATTATCACAATCATAAGGGTAATGGGTTGGTATATATAATTAAAAATCTGGGTTTAAATTTTAATTATATTTTTTTATTATCCACAATTAAAGATTGCCCATTTTCAAGAATCCAGAAGTAACTGAATCTTGGCCGCTAGCCACTTTATTTAATTATTTATTAATTAATGATTTTCCAGTTAACAAATAGAATAATTAACAAGTTGGCCGGTTTTTCTTCTTCTCTTATAGATGAGTTTTGAGCTGAGAAATAATTTTACTTACAGCTTCTGTAAGCATAACAATCCAACAAACCAAACATGGGTTTTTGTCTGAATCTATCCAAGCAACTCTATAATCTCTTTAGGTAATCTCTTTTCCTTTGGTTTTTTAGTATGGTCTTTTCATTTTTTGTAATGATTTATTTATTTTTTGTAATTGGAAATATGATATTTCTGCAAAGTACTAATTTTTATGCTAATTAGTGATATGTTGTATGATTATATAAACATGAGTTTTTAGTTGCCCTTGTCAACTTTTGTAAATAAAAGAAGAATCTTTATTGTAGTTGTTTCATTTGATCTTGATTGTCCTATTTGAGTTAAGATTTGATGCTATGGTATATTTTGATTTACCGGGGGGCCGTGGCCCCCTGACCGTTTCGAACATGTTATGTAGAAATTTTGTTGTTTCTTGATTAGTCATTTTCTTGTATTTGGGTGTCGAATTCAGGTTAGTGATTGCTTAGGGTATGAATTTATTTATTTTAGCATTACATGTATAAAGAATCGAAGTTATCGATTCGTTTTGTGTTAGAAGAAAATAATTGATTCGTTTTTGTCTTATTTTTTCCTTTTCTGCAAAACCAGGTAAATATTTGATCAAGAATAGCCTTCGACTTGGGTTGACTAAAACGAGTTGGACAAAAAATAACAAAACATTTATAAGATGCAAATGTTTTCGGACAAAGAATCGGGGCGAAACACTGCTGATTCATCATATAAGGCCTTGTTTGGCAGTCACTTGCCTATGTCGTTCACAAACAAAGAACCGGCGTTTTCTCTTTCAAAGAGTGTCTCGAACGAGACGGCAACCACAGCAGAAGGTGATTATCATGTGAAGTTATCTGAGTCGACTCAGTATCAAGAACACGATTCCTCGTCAACTCTTTCATCTGGACAGTCTCATCATAAGGCAGCCACTTCAGCAAAAAGCAACTTTCACATGCAAAATTCGACGTTTCAGCCTGGTAATAAATTTGTAGTATAGTAAACTCTGTTGTAATTCACAATTTGTAAAGGCTTACGAATTTTTATTTTTGCTAAGTCGATGACAAGTTATTGTACATAGGTTCGTTGGATTGTACGAGACCGTTTTTGCTGTATGGAAATCAAGATTTCGTCGGGCATCATGTTCAAACAGAACATCATCAATCGTTGGTTAGTTATCGTCTTTTCTTGTAATAAGAGTGGCTATTTACGAACACTTCTGTATAAATTTTTTAATGTAAAAATACGAACTGCCACTCTAGAGAAACGGCGCACGATTTTTTAACTTTTTTATATGTTTGTTTGCAGGGTTACATTTCTTACCCTTTGGGTGGATCTTGTTACGGCAGGACTGGAGCTGCTTACGAACCAAATGCCATTGTAAGTACCGAAACCATTATTTTTCTTAATATTTTATAATTGTCCGATTTCGAAACTTTCGTACTTATATTCATAAGCCGAGAGTGTTCGTTGAATTCATTTTTCGGAAATTAATATTACCAGGTTTATTCTCAAATGATCGGTGTTGCACCACAAAGAATTGTGCTTCCTCTCGATTGCACCGAAGGTATCCCCGTTTATGTAAATGCAAAACAATACCATGCCATTCTCAGGCGTCGACAAATTCGAGCCAAACTCGTGGCTCAAAACAAGTTGGCCAAATCTAAAAAGGTACTTATGCGGGTTTTTTTTTCCGATATTATCTGTCACTTTAGAATACCAATGTTGCATTAGTTACTTTTTCTTCTTTCCAAATTTGCCCTTATTGCTCTTTAAAGCAAACGTTAATCGTCATAACTTGATAGAGGAATTAATTAAAAGGGTAATTTAGTCTTATTGCATATATTTTTCCTAATAATGTATCTTCAATTAATAATGTAGCCATATCTCCACGAGTCTCGTCACCGGCATGCATTGAAGAGGGCTCGTGGCTCCGGTGGACGTTTCTTGAACACGAAAAACATGCAACAACAAAATCTTACTTCATCAATCCAAACGAATCACAACAACCTATGCGAGACCGACACCTGGCAAATCTCCATCGCATCTGGCTCCGATGAAGATGCCCCTCCTTGCATCTTCAACAACGACGGCGACTTTTTCCAGCAACTTGATTCGAAATCAAGTGGGGTTCACTCGCATTTGGCGGGGACCGACGACAGGCTCGTGTTGCTATCCATGGACATACGAGCGCGCACAGATCAGCACTGTCACGTGATTGGTTGTGCTCTCTAACCTAACCGGCAGTTCATCCTTGGCTATTGTGTTACTGCTTCATTTCCGGTACCGAAACTTGATCGATGGAGCATAATCATGCTCTCGACTTTCTCAATTTCGTAAAATGCGTCTTGAACTCGAAATCTGAAATGTACCTCATGTGTTTACATTTTGGATTAAGCTTTGCTTATTTGTCTTATTTTGTTGAATAATTAAGGTTGTTTTTCATCTCTGATCTATGTATTTAATTCAAGAATCACACCCAAGATCATAGTTTTAAGATCGGGCTTCGATTAACTTAGGGTTTCGATTCATTATCTACAAAAGATCTCAAAACGAAGATTGAAATCGACATCCCAAAAGACGTGAAATTGAAAATGATGGTTGTGGGCTTTAACTTCAAGATTGAATCCCCACAACTTTTAGCTTGTCTAGATAACAGAGACAACCTAGTACATAATCAAAGAAGCTAACATCCATTTCAAGACATATTTACATCAATATATACACTCTGGTGTGGAGCCACACTAAAAGATAAAAACTATGCAAAAAAAACAGGGGGTTGAAAAATAAAGAAAACCATTTCTTGACCCCTCTTCAGAAAGAAAAGCTGTCTCGATTCTTAGTCGAGAGCCGTTTGAGAAACTCGTAAGTCGTAATCATAGTAGTTGCAGACATAGACATAGAAGCCCACCTCGGACCGAGCCCTCTATAACAAGCACCCAATCCACCTTCCTTCACCAAATTCCTCACCGTCTCCACAACCGTCAACGATCCACCTCGCGCACCCTCTCCATCCAAAACCTGCAGCCTCGTCTTAATCGTATCCAGCGGCATTGTCACTAACGCAGAAGCTCCGCTCGCCATTACCGCACTCACCGCCTGAACCCCCATCACCGCCTTCCCATCCGGCCTATAACCACCACCACCACCGTTTTTTTTACAGAAATAACAACCAACGCCGCCCCAAATTACTCTATGCACCACCGAGTAAGAAGCCCACCAAACCGCATTGGAAGGTGCGTAAGTCAGTATCGAAATCCCAAATCCCCTGTACAACCCTTTCAAGCCATCGGCTTTTACAATTTTCCGAAAAGCATCGATCCCACCATTGTACTTCTTCAATCCAACGGTGCAGGAGCTTCCTTGAACCATTAGCCGCTGGCTAACGACGTCGATCGGTGTCCACACCAATTGAGCAGCCATCGCAGCATTCAATCCAGCTGCAGCATTCGCAACAGCACAAGCGGAAGCTTCCGAAAACCCTAACCGAGCAGTGGCGAGATTTCCGACGTTGCTCTTGGTAACTTCTAGGGCACCCATGTAGAGCGCACGTGCCGGAATCGTTCCCATTAGCGAAGTCCCGAAGCCTCTGTAGAATCCTCTGCAACCCTCGGCACGGAAAATAGAGGACGCCATCTTCAGGCAGGACGTGTCGTTGCTCAACATCACCTGCTGACGTGTCTTCAGAACGACGATTGGGTATAGGGCGCCGGAGACGCCTGAGAAGAGGGCGGCGCCGAGGAAGAAGAACTTTGATTTGTCTAGCATCTCCCAATCTACGTCGGCGGGGAGATGGATTTCAGCCGCTGAATCTTCCTCCGCCGCTGCTAAACTCATTTTCGCCAGTTTTGAAGCTCTCTTTTTTTTAGAAAAAACTCAAATCTCCAAACAGTACCAGATTTATCTATCTATATATCTATATATCTATACATACAGAATAAGAAAAACACAGACGCACACACAAAATCTGGCGAACATCGAAGTAATCAAATGGATTCAGCTAAAAAAAAAAAAATCAAAAATCAAAATCATTAATTTGTTTCTTCTTCCGTTTGCGCAAACAGATTAGAGAACGGAAGAGATCCAGCATTTCATCACCGGAGAATCTGAGCGCCGATCACTGATTACAAATTTTAGGTTTCATTTTCAGATAAGAAAGATCTGTATAATAATAATTATATATATATAAATAGGATGAAGGAGGTGAGAATTGAAGAAACAGAGTTGAGGAGTAACTGAAAAAGGGTGGAAAAAGGGTTGCGCACACTCAGTGTGTGTAGGGTTAGTGGATTTAGGCAGAGTTTTGTTCGAGGGTTTTGCGGATCAGATGGAGGTGGACACGTGTCGGTTACCCTTTCGAGAACTTTTACTTTAGCGTTGAGATTGTGACCGGCTGCGGGCTGATTGATTTCACAGAAAACTATGGGTTTTTTCGACATTTTTTTATGGGCACTGAAATATCAATAGTGATTTGAGGATTATGTGGATTTTGTTTTTTATATTTTGGAAAATAATATAATAATAAAACCAAGTCACTTTTTAAAAGAAAATTATTATATTTTTTTAAAGTTATACCACGCATATATTTTATTAAATGTATAACAAGCACGTTGGATAGAGGTTGAACTGGAAATCAAACCAAATTATTCGATACTCAATTCGATATTGTTTGTTAAAAGCACAATGAACTCGGTTTGTTAACGTAGTAAAACAATATTAAGCTCAAGCCCAATTCGTGTCTGGGTTCACTAAACTTTATTTGAATTTAACTTGACTCTTTATCAAACCAAACTCAAACACAATTTAAAAAATTCAATAACAATTTAAACAGGTTTGAAAACAACTATCTATTCGATTCGACTAGACTCGTTTATACCTCTGGACAGAGGCTTAAAATTGGGCTCCGGCACATCTAGCCCAATATTTGAATTTCACTTAAATAAAATATAACGAATGCCACATTGAAAAAAATAGTAAAATAAATAAATATGATTCTTACACATTCATTTATAATAATTCACCATCTTCACACATTTATTTATAAATAAATAATCACATATTCTGATTATTTATTATGTTTGAAAATAAAATTAAAATCATATATTATATAAATTATTTATGGGTCCTTTACTTTGTATTAGGATAGTGGGGCTTTGAATAATTAAGCCCAGCCAACCATGGTCCGTTTATTTAACTTTACTATTGAATATTAAGGCTCCGTTTGATAGGATTAAGTGCTTAATGCTGAATGCTGAATAAATATCTGAATGGGTAAGAGCTGTGTCTGATTGCTGAATGCTGAATAATTAAGTTCATTTGATAACTGAATATCAGTAATGTCTGAATACTGTAATTTTCCTGATATACCCTTGCATAATTTTGAAATATTATTGTTAATTAAATTTGATTAGAATATATGAATAAACATACTTTTTTAGCATGATTTACTTTAGTAAATTATAAAAATTTGGCGGACATTACATATCTTGATATAAACTTATAATATTTAACATAGACAAAATATAAATTTCAAATTTCAAACTCAAACGACTAATAAAAATAAAATTCACAAATAAAAGCAGAGAAAATATAAAAATACATTAAAGTAATTAAAATTGGCTGAAAAATATTAATCCCTAAAATTAACATGAAAAAATTTAATAAATTCTAATTGGTCCTGGTTCCTCCAGGCATCAACCGGGTTGCTATCTCATCGCGCACATTTGCCATGTATTGCATGTCTTCGGCCCCCACCATGGCCCAGTAGTTGTACCATCATTCACAAGGTTTTGCTCATCCTCATTCACAAAATTGATATTTATGTGACTTTCAAGTGTGCAACTTTGGCACTTTGCTAATAATATATCCTAGTAAATTTATTATTCAACCACTAATAGTCTAATATCATTATTTTTACTGAGCTCCAACCTCTATGCATGAGTTCCATATAAACAATCAAAGCTTAATTTGAAGAAAAAAAAAATGATAAAGGCATATGGGTAATCTAAAATTAATTTGTGTAGTCGTGACGACTCAAATAACCTTTCTTCTTGCTCGTGATTATTGAAAAATAATGCAGAAAATACATATATTGTTGATAGGAGAAACTAGGAAAAAGGAAAAAAAAGAAAAAAAAAAAGGAATAAAAAAGACAAAGCAATTCTAACACAGACCTTGCAGAATGTGGAGGTAGTTGGAGATATCAGCATGTTTGATATGGAAGCTTCTTATGACAGAATATTTTCCATTTAAATATTTGAGATACCAATTTGTTGCTTGATTCAACTATTATTATTAATTATTATTGGTCATGCTCGTGAAATTTTCTACGCTCACTTAATACAGCATATGAAAAACTACCGTGATATTCTTAAGAAGATATCCAAGTGGATGAAATCCGAGAGGGAGATTGATAAAAAAAGAAAGATGAAACTTACCGAATAATTTTCGTTTATGATTTTTGATAGGAGCTTCGAAGCCGCCAAGAGCAGATTGTTAACCGAGATGGAGAGGACAACTATCGTTTTATGAAGTAGGGTAAAAAATCAAAATTTTATTTAAAGATAAAAGAAGGATAAAATAGTCCAAAATTTATTCAGATTTGGCTCTGACCGAATAAGCATCTAATTTTCCGCGGAATCGTTAAGAGGTATGTGGACCAATTCAGAAGTTGCAAACAAACACCCTTAATGACTATACTGCTGACCGAATCAGCAATTGAATCATTAAGTGGCCCATTAAGCAAAATCAAACGGAGCCTAAATTTTAGGCCCATCATAAATATTAATCTTCTATTTTAAGTCCCTTTTCTTTTTAAAACCACTTACCAGAACCTCCTGGAATATTCTACCTTCTCCTTCCATTTCCCTCCAGAAACTTCTTCAGTCTTCTTCTTCTTCTTTAATCCCCACCGCCAAATCAACCCTATAAATTCAAACCCCAATCAATCTCATCTGCATTAGACAATTCAAGCAAAAAAACAATTTGAAGAATTCATAATTCAAAAGAGAACAAATCCACTACGGAAAAAAATATAATGGATATCAGATTTCTAGGGTTCGACGCGCCGATCCTCCACGCACTGCAAAGCATGATAGATCCAGAGGATTCCGACGGCGGAAAATCGGTCGGCGCACCCACCAGATCCTACGTCCGCGACGCCAGGGCAATGGCGGCGACGCCGGCGGACATCAAGGAGTACGCGACCTCGTACGCATTCGTGATCGACATGCCGGGGCTGAAATCCGGCGACATTAGGGTTCAGGTGGAGGACGGAAACGTGCTCCTGATCAGCGGCGAGCGGAAGAGGGGGGAGGAGGAGAAGGAGGGGGCGAAATACGTGAGGATGGAGCGGCGGATCGGGAAATTCATGCGGAAATTCGTGTTGCCGGAGAACGCCGACACTGATAAGATCGCGGCGGTTTGTCAGGACGGCGTGCTGACTGTGACGGTGGAGAAGCTGCCGCCGCCGCAGCCGAAGAAGCCGAGGACGATCGAGGTTCAGATTGCTTGATGAGTGTGGAAAGTGTTTCTCTATTTTTTTCTGAGTGTTTGATTTGAATATTTTGATGATGTATGCTTCAGCTTTCAGATTTCCTAATGTTTGAAAATTTTCTCTCTCTAGTTTGAATAAATTTCAATTTAAATATTTTGAGTAAAGAATTATGTGCAGTGGATGGGATTAATTACAGAATTATTATATTGGATTAATTAGAAAAGCAAAAGGTTTAACCTTATCTTAATCTTAATCAACATAATGGGCTTGATGAATGTATGAGGTTGTATATTGGCCCGTGTGCAGTAAGTCGGCCCGAGCCCAATCACCTGGATATCGAAATAGCTATTCGGGTCAAACTGGATCCGGAATCGATAGACTAGATTAGTGTATACTGTAGTATAATCAAATTTCGCTCGATACCGCCATAGAATACATATCCGATACGTTACAATATTGAGGTGGAGTTGTACGATTTTGAGCACATTTATGGGTGATTTGTGCGAGTTTCGGCATATTTGAGGGTGACTGTAATTCTTAGCACGTTTTTAACATTTTTTTTTATTACTGCAAAACCACAAAAAAAAAGGCTTCGATAAAAGCAGTTTATATTAGCAAATGTAATAAAATCGACACTAGCATTTCTAAGAACTATGACTATTGTACTAGTCAATAATTTAATGTTGAAACTTGACTTTGAAAAAATAATTTTTATATGTTTATCATATTAATACTATAATGTGGTATATATTTTTTACTATTTCCAATAGTTAGTTAAATATGTTACGCTACGATAGATACAATACGATAGATGGATGAAAAATTATATGGTGATATATTCCGATATGATAACCATTGACTAGATATAATGACAAAATTATAATGCATATATGAGTTATGCAAATGTATATCGAATTTATAATCTTATAGTAAATTTATATTAATCTAATTGATCCAAAAAATAAAAAATAATAAAAAATAATGAAGGGGTTAGTCTAAAGCACGAGAGTAGGACTGCTGGTGGTAGACTTCACACAACAGCAAACAGAAGAATCATAAAAGTCTACGCACAAGTCAACATGCTCCACCATTTTTTATCTCCCATTTATTATTATTATTATTACTACAATTTATTTATTAATATTTAATTATTTATAGAATGAGTTAGGGGTTGTTTGGGACCCCCAACTCAATTCCTTAGCCACCACTTAATAAGCCAAAAAGAAAAAAAATTAAGCAGCAGCAGCAGCAGCAACTATGAAGCTTCTTTCCACACAACAGGAAGCTCACTAAGTAGTAAGAACAACTGAGCTATCAAACAATAACAGAACACACACACACACACACACACACTAAATATATATATATACGCATTATATAACGTATGTACAATTATACGAATGCAAACACATTTGATGATCATGGCTGATAATTACACCAACACAAACTTACCGTACGAAACCGACTTCGAGGTTTCCGATTTCCTCGAATTCAACGACTGGATCGAGGAGGGCCCGCCATTATCGTTTTCTTCGATATCTGCAGATTATAACATCCCTCAAAATCCAAATTATGCGAGTAACGAAATAATGATGAACTCGGGTGCAAGTGGAATCAGCAGTAGCAGCAGCAGCAGCATTCATGAAGGGAATATCACTAGTAAGCAAACCTTGCTCATACATCTCTGAATTTCAATGTGTAATTTATTTATTTATTATTTATTATATATATATATGAGATTGATTTAATTATAATGAAAATATGTTGTATTTGTGGTTATAATCAGGAGATAGTGGGAGTGGAAGGGAGAAGAAAGAAATCAGAGAGAAAGTTGCTTTCAAAACTAAGTCAGAGATTGAAGTACTTAATGATGGCTTCAAGTGGAGAAAATATGGCAAGAAGATGGTCAAAAATAGCCCAAATCCAAGGTACACACACACACACACACACACACACACACGTGTATATAAATTCAATTTGAGGATCTACAAGAATTATGAAATAACAACAGCATGAGAATAATTATGCAATTATTGTGATGTAACGAACAGGAACTACTATAAGTGCTCGATCGAAGGGTGCTCAGTGAAAAAGAGAGTCGAGAGAGACAAAGATGATCCAACTTACGTGGTAACGACCTACGAGGGCATCCACAATCATCAAGGTCCACCTCAGCTGTGATATATCAAAACTCAAAAAAAATAAAATTAAATCACTATTATGTAGCTATAATTCTCAGTGAAGTATTTCAAGGTCTCGGGACTGTGAGAGTGTAGACAGATTTCACAGCTGAAAATGGGATTTTCCAGCTAGATGTACGATAAAGAAATTTCTAGGACAAAAAGCTATTTCCAATACCATTCCAACAAAAAAATATAAATCGATACGTACGATTTATACAAAAGAGTTCTATACATTGAATCTATCTTTAGCCACTTTATACATTTTCGGTTAAATAAAGACATATATAGCATATATATATATATAAATCAAAAGGGATAATAATAAACATGCCTGTTCTGTTTGTTTCTCTTGGCCACTTTGATACGTACTCAGTCGGAAAAAATAATATCGGGATTTCTTATATGAACATTTAGTGCAACCCGATCATCCCATGCAACCGCTTCACCTTCAATAGGACACGATATGCTCCACAAAACATCCTCACTCAACGCCTTTCTTGTTGAGGATTTTAAAACGAGATTCTTGTTGGACTTGGTCAAACCACTAGAAATCAGCCACCTGGCACCCGATTGACGTTGTCTGCTAGTTCCCCAAATGTGTGTATTATTACCACCAGGTACAACATTCAATCCAGCAAGATGAACTTCCAAGACTTTGAACATCGGTTCATATATCTTGTCTTCATTTTTTTTGTAATCGGTTCCATCTAGAACCTTGTCTGCTTGAATCAGAGCGAGCATAGCGGGACCCACGGTCTCGTAATCACGAGAGGGATCTCTAAGCTGCATTTTGAAGCACATTACGAAGTTTTTACGAAAAATGCCATTATCGAGGGACCTACCAGAATCGAGCCTCAGCCACTCTTTCAACGACAGGGTGTACTTCATTAATTCATCCATATCCATAACCGGAAAGTCTGAAGCTGTTTCGATACTGAAGTTACTAGAAGGTTCCGGAACCTTCCCTAAAGAATCGGAGTTTCGGGCGAGCTTGATACTAATGCTTGAAGGTGCCTCTTGATCTGGAATGCCACACTGAATCTTTAACCCTTCAATTAGAAGCCCTTCAATGTTTGTTATCGCCATCGGAATAAGATCTTCAGTAGATACATAATCAGAATTTCTCTCCTCGGAATCAAAACCCTGCTCCAAAGCCCATCTTAAAAAAAATAAAAAATAAAATCAAATTAATCGAAAGAAACATTGTGCCAGCATATTCGAATTCTTGAAATTATTATCAGACCTATTAGAATAGTGTGATTCAGATTCAGACAAAACTTGCTGCATTGTCTTCCCCGTGACATCTTCCAATGGCATCAATTCATTTGTCTGAACACACATCTTTTCGACTCCTTCAGATGCCCAACATTTTAGCACATCCATTACGGTAAATCCCATTTTAGAGGGTAATACAACAGGAGCAGAAACCTGCACGATTAATCTTGCACCATTGTTTCCGTTTCTGAAAAGCAACGGATTCATCGACCTCAATAAACCACCATCCTTTGTCCGAATAATGGGGCCCACACCTTCTTCGATACAAGGCAATTTTAAAGGCTCTTCTGCAGGAAGATATACCGGACTCCCAAATCCGCCTGAACTAATACGTGGAGAATACTGGAAGGCCTTTTCGTTCAAACCCCATTCTTGCATTAAGACTTCTGTTTCTAAATTCTCGAGCCTTTCGGCGTTTTTTCTGTTGCTTATAAAAGATGGGTTTAGGCTAACGTAATTAGTTTCAACTGCTTGGATAGCAAACGACAAATCGAAGTCATCTTTATGCTCTTTCTGCAAATCAATGTCTTCTTGATTATGGTCGAAGCTTAACATGTTGAGAAAATCGTTTTCTATAGATTCTGCAATAAGTTCTTCGAATGTTGATTCGGGATCATCAGTTGCAGATTCTTGTTCATCTTGTTTATCTACGTCGAGATTTGATTTCCATTCCACATACTCGTTTAAAGCAGTTTCCTCTTCGCCCTCGAAAATTTCGGCAACATCAATGGTTTCTATTACAGGATTCTCAAATCTGTGACTTTTAATTTTTTCTATTTTAATCTGATCTTTCGTAAATACTTCTTCGATTCCTTGATCAATTACATCAAATTCGATCTCATTAAACTCATGTCGAGTTTCTCCACATGCAGAATCGGGTGATGAATCAAACTCCATCATATTATCCATTTTTCCCTCGTTAAGTTTCCTATACAATAAAGTAACCGAGTGCGAAAGCTCTCCCTCAAGACATTTTACATTCGCAGACGGAGAATCGTGATACGACGACCCTTTACTTGAAATGGCTGTAACACAATCAAGATTATGATTTTGTCCACGTTCCTTCAAAATATCAGGAACTTCCACAAAATAACCTGGCTCGAACGAATCACCATCCAAAATCGAGAACCCAAAACTAACATTTAGCATTGCGCCTTTCGCCTTGCCTGTGAGCTTAAAGCTCGTAGTCCACTTTCCTGTGCTACTTTTACCCTCCTCTAACTCCTCCATTGTTAATGGCAGCAACCTGCTTAAATCAATCCAGTGTTTCCCAATATCAAGAACCGGTGCCTCTATCACGGATGGATAAATCGAGAAAAGCTTTGGCTCGTATTTTGCTGAGCTGTGGGGCCCATTTCTGCCACCGTACACGTTACACCGGTACATGAGAGTCTCTTCGAACTCAGCCATTCCCAAACAAACACGAGAAGTGCGAGTTTTCGACATGTCAGCTCTTCGTTTCCATGTTACACAGATGTCAAGATTGTTGAAATTCGGGGGCAGCCCTTCGATTGCATGGACATGCAGAAAGAAACAGCAATTGAAACGGTGGTTACGTAAGTGGGCCAGTGCCTTTAAAGGCTTCCAATTCCATATTGACGATTTTTTATTGTCCTTTTGTGACGAATCTTGAATAATGACGTTGGATTTGGGTTCCGAAATGTCGGTTTTATTATCAGCCACGTTTCTGGGGTGGTCGAGAGACGAATTAAATGTCTTCCGTGGCATTTTGTGCAAATAAAGGGCTTTGCTGATTTCTTCTATATCACGCAATAAAACCCCACATCCAAAATCTCCGTCATCGCCTTTCGTGGGTTTTACTTCGGATGCCATGCCCTTCACTCCCAAAGCAAAATCTCTAAAAATATAAAACATACACTCTATCAAAATCTCTAAAATGATTTAGCAAAAGAAGCTGTCTAAATTAGTAGTACTGCGTAGAATGTTATTTTCCTTCGATTTACTAGCTTACATACTTCATCACTTCGGTTTGGGTATAATCTATCAACAGCAAAAAAGTAAAGTTAATTCCTCTAACGTGATTTATTTCACCCAATTAAAATCTCAGATATACAACGTGCGCATATAAATCATACAACAACTACACATCTCTACAGAAAAATTATATCGATCATTATAAAATCAGCCGAAGCAAAAAAAAAAAGAAAAAAAAAACAGAAAATCTTAGAACTTACAGAGATTCAGTCAGGAAAAAGGAGCTGCTGTTGACTGATAATCCTGTTGATCGCTGAGCTTCAGTTTTTTGATTTGGTTAGGGATTAGGGATAGAGTAATTAGCTGGCGCTGATTTGGAGTTTGGCCGGAATATTCCCTACTTGGGGTTGAGTCTCCGAAATGAATTTTGTTTTGTCTTATGTGTTTTGGGGAAGTTTGGATTAGGTATACCCCTATTTTGGTTCTTCTAATTGGAGATTAATTAATTAATTGAATTGTATACTAATTAATAAGTAATAACTAATTCAATTTGATTTAATTTGTACCTCTTCAATAACTAATTTGCATTGATTTGTATTTGGTCAATCATGTTCACTAAGAATGCACATTTGGTCCGCATGTTTCAGGAATTCAATATTGTCAGTCATTTTTGTCGATTTTTCATTAATACTAACGAAATCAAGCGTGTGCTCATCACTATCTCGACTGACAGACTAGTGATAAATTGACGAAAATGACAGGAAGTGTTAAATTATTGAAACATGTGGGACCACATATATTTTTTGTGAATATGGAAGACCAACTGTGAAATTGGTGTAAACTTGCAGTGTGAAAACTATAATTTTTCATATCAGATGTGATTCTTTTTTAATTTTTAATTTATCAATGCTTGATAATTAATGTTGTCAAATAGAGGGTTATATTTGTTATTTCATTTGTAATACAAGAAGCATTGTTATAGATAATATCACTAGAAGAAAAAAAAATTACGGCCACCCGAGATAAGATCAAATTACGAAAAAAAATTATGGCCACCGAGATAAGATTAAATTACGAAAAAAAACTATTCATGTTCGGATAATTACAACCACACCCCTCAACTATGAATCTCCTTACACGCCCATCTTTACATAGTTGAAAGACATGGTTGTAATTACTCAAATATAATGATTTTTTTCGTAATCTGACATTACTTTAAGGTGATCATAATTTAAACAAAAAAATATAAAAACACAAAATTAAATATTTATTTAGGAAGTGTAAGTAAATATAGAATAAAGAAAATAATGTGAGGCCTAGGCCCATGAAAACCTACATACACTCTTTAATGGGCTTTGTCGAAACCCTTAAAATGGCGATTTCCGACTACATTTCAGCAAACCCCTACGCTCCCCCAACCCATTTTCATCACTGCTGAAGAAACCCTAACCCTACCTCAGATCTCGTCACTCTCTCCATTTCAACTCCGGTTACAGTGATGTCAACCTCAACTGAGCCGACGGTGACGAAAAGAGACGAAGAGGAGGATGAAGACTCTAAGCCGGCCGCCGACGACGAGGATACCGGAGCTCAGATTGCCCCGATCGTCAAACTCCAAGAAGTTGCAGTCACCACCGGCGAAGAAAACGAAGATGTTCTCCTCGATTTGTAAGCTTTTTTTATTTCTCGCCTATTTTTATTTCATTTCGGCCGATTAATTGTTTATATTTTAGGGTTTGATTAGGATTGGTGCGATAGCAACTATAATTGATGGGAAAAGTTTTTATCTTTTGCTGATGTAATGCCGATTTCTTGATTTTTTGTGCTTTTTGATTATTGAATTGGTAATTGCGCCGGGTGTACTGAATACTATTTGATGTTGAATTGATTGTTATTGCTGTTGATAGGAAAGCGAAGTTGTATAGATTTGACAAGGAAGGTAATCAATGGAAGGAACGAGGAGCCGGTACCGTAAAACTGCTAAAGCACAAGGAGAGTGCCAAAGTTCGGCTGGTCATGAGGCAGAACAAGACCCTTAAGATCTGTGCCAACCATCTTGGTCAGTAAATTATACACATTGTTGTGAATTTGTATGTATTATTTACTTTATGTTGCGGTGATATGTATCTCTTAGGCCTTGTTTGGTTGGCGTGATTAGCCATGATTAATTATATAAATATGTAAAGGGACTTTGTTTGATGTTGGTGTCCCCAATAACTTGTCGGGTCGACCCGCAAATATTATGTTATCATGCTTTATCTTGCCTTTCAGGCATGTTTTTTTATTTTATCCTGGCTAATCTTTTCTTAGCAATGAAACGAGGACTTAGTTATGTTATGTGGTTCGATAAGTTGGATTGGATGTGGGTTGAAATTATTGTTGTTGAATTGTATTATGTGTGATGTTTTGCTCAAAGATTTTTTATATCGGATACTGAGGTGGTGTTTTTGGCTGAAATTTGAGTTAATTGCTTGTTAATATAGTGCTATCAACAATGTCTGTACAAGAGCATCAAGGCAATGAGAAGTCTTGTGTGTGGCATGCTGCTGATTTTTCTGATGGAGAGCTCAAGGATGAAACTTTCTGTATTCGATTTGCTTCTGTTGAGAGTAAGTTTATTCTTTCTAATCTCATTTTTTAATTTCTGAAATGCAATATTTCTGCATTGATATGTGATTGCTTGTTTTGTATCATGAAAAACTTGAAGCATATATACACTGACAAATTGTTTAAATTGGTTAAATCTGAGGAGCTTGCTCCCTTGTCATTAACACGTCAGATTAGTTATTTGCATACTTAGACTCCTGGTTAAAAAATGATCTTACTTGTATGATTTGATGCCCTTTGCTACTTCAATATAGTTTGGCTGGTAGTTGCTTCGTGTAATATTTCTGTTCATGAAGAATTCAGTTTGGTGATTTGGGTGTTGAAGTCCATGAAATAGAGTTTCGACATAGTTCACGAAGTAGAGTTTTGATCTATAACGGGTTTTTTTCATAGCTGCCTCGATACAATTTTTTAGTGGTGTTTCGCCAAGAAAATCCATAAATATCCTTGGCTGTTGTGATATTTATCTAGTGTTTTTATTTTTTTATTTTATTTTATTGTTTATTCACATCATGAGATAAGTGATCGAACAAATTGTCTAAATCAGTATTAGATATCATAATTTCCATATTTATGTAAAGTTGCAACCACTCCCCAAAATCATGTTGTAGTAAAAAAACATTTTCTTATTGTAACATTGGATATGTATGAATAATTATATCTGTCTTATCTTATTAATTACAGATTGCAAAAGTTTCAAAGATAAGATTGAGGAAATAGCTGAATCTCAGTCAAAGGAGAGCGGCGATAGTGAAGAAGCCGACACTGCTGCTAGTCTTATTGAAAAGTTGAGCGTTGAGGAGAAAGCCAAGGATGAGAAATCAGAGCCCAAAGAAGTGCTTTCTTCTTCGGAAGATAAGAAGGAAACCATTGAGAAACCGGTAAAACCTGTGTCCGACGAGTGAGGTCTTTTCTTTTAATTGTGATCTGTGTTTTTTTGTCGAGAGAGTTGAAAGCTTGAGTTGGTCAGTGAATTAAACCTTAGCACCTGATACAATAGTTTTGAAGCATAGTGTATTTTGTGATTTGGTTTGTTTGCTATTTCCCGGTGGGTCAGTTGTTCAGTCGGTCGGTGGATCAGTCGGTGTGTTTAGTGTGGGTAATATTGAAACTTTTCGTTTTATCACTATTGAGAGATTGTATTTCAAAATTCTAAATGGGGTGCATTACCCTAGCATATATGATGTTTATCTTTGTCCATATCCATTGTTTAAAGCTTAATTTATATCTATATTGATTTTCCTTGCAATATTATGTTTGATTATATGACAATAACAAATAGAAATTCTTTATGCTGTTACTATGGTTTAAGGTTGGATTTGACCTATTCATTCTGCACATAACTACTTGTACCTGCATTTGACATATTTAACCAAATTTAGCTCGTAAAAAGCTTACTACATAATTAATCATTAGTTAAAGATGACGAAAACCAATTGAAATTGAAATCGTTGGGAGTATCTGATTACCAGAAACTGCCACAAGAGAAAGCCAAGTTATGTTGCAAACCTGGGCAGCCGGGTAAGACAATCTCACACAACCTAGTCTAGTTTTTCTATTACACACACTGTACATTTTAATGATGGTTCAGCTGAATATAATACTTAAAGGCAGCCATCGAGAATCTTTATTGCAAATAAATACCGACTGACTGAATAAGGGCGAAAAACCTACAAATATACAGGCATATACGCCACCATTCTTCAACAGCATCTCCGAATTACCCAGGTATTAAGGAGACATTATTACATCATCCATTGATGTCATCATTTGTACATCTGTTTCGTCTGCAGTTCTGTTTCTCATCTGATTTCCCATGGAATCACCTAGCATACAAATTTTATATTATATTAGTTGACAAAGCAACAACGTAAATAACCCAGACTTCCGTTTTTTTTTTTTTTGAACTTTTATGCCTTACCAAATATTGAGTCAATTGAAGGTCGGCTAGGCGATGAACTCCTCGTAGGATCTGCATTGTTGCAAATTGCTACATTAAACTCAGGGAATGGTTATGAAGTGCTACATTCACCATTAACGGCAACATTTACATAGTGAACTGTTTTTGTTCGAGAATCAATGACTGAAGAAACATGATAGTGAATTGTTTCAGAATTTAGATAAATGGATAAGCAAAGAACTTCATCAACAAATCCTACTGCAACTATTAAACCAAGATGTTCCAATTATTACATGCAGTTAATCTGGTTTAATATCTATCCACCGTCAAATAGGTTGTTCTAAGGTCAGGATTCATCAAACTGACTGTATTTTACTTTAAGCACGCAGCTTCTTTAGGATATTTGATGTGATGTGCCGTATTATGACGCTAACTGCAAATTTAGCAGTGTTTCTAAAAGCAAAATACATATATATGTCGGAGGAGAGAGGCTTGGGTAGGAAAATAGTGTCACATTACTAGAATGTAAAGCAAATTCATTACCTGATTTATTGCGCAGTGCCTTGATAGCATCAAAGTTCTTGTATGTATAGCCCACAAAACTCAAATCTTTAGGAGTTAAAAGCAGCTGTTTGATGCAACACGAGGACTATGTTATTACCTCGTTCACCATATTCATTAAACATATGAGAACTAAAAATGAAAAACATTCAATCTCCCGACGACGAGCATTTAGGGGAACTTGTAACGTATATAACTTGAAATTATGTAGAGGTGAAGAAAAACCTTTCGTGAGGGTCCTGAGCTAGACCTTGACTGTGGTGGTGGAGGATTCAACTGTTCAACAAATGATATAATTTCATTAGTAAGGCTTATTCAGAGAAGCAACACTAAAAAAGAACACAGAGTGACACTTAGCATATAAATACGAGACATTAGAAGATGAAAATCATGCATGAACGCAGGCACAAGTGCAATGAGAATGATTCCTAGTGGGATTTTGCTTGGATTCACATAATAAAAGTAGAGAAATCAGAGCGTACTTCATCAAACTTCATAAAGTTCTGGGTATCCAGCTCCCCGTTAACCTCTGGTTTGAAAGCCGCTTCCATTTCATACAGTTTATCCCATTCAACATCGACGAACCAAGGATGGACCTGTACATATTCATATATAAATGGAAGAGAAGAAGAGAAGAGTACACCGAAGTCGAAACTCATTTTAGCCAAATCATACCTTTATCTGATCTGCTCCTCCGGTTCCCAGTCTGTTTTCCACATCACAGAGCAATCTACAGATGAGATCTTTTGCCTCGGAGCTGAGTTTACTATCTACAGGAATCTCAGGTGATTACGCCAGTGAACAATCTGTCAATCGTTAGTAAACTTTATCAGAAGACAATTGCTTCAATGGTGAATCTGCAGCTAAATAAGGAAAGCAGGGGGCTTACTCCACTGTAACATTTCCACTGACCGAATGATGAATTAAGTCATAGACATAGATTACACTCACTATATGGCCAGTATTTGTTCGAAGCAAAAGAAATTGAACTGGAAGAAGAAGAAAAAATACGGTATACTATATCCAAAGCATGTACCTTTCTGCAAGTGGTCATAGGATCGTCAGAGTAAAATGGAGGGTACCCAACAAGCATTTCATACATGATTGCGCCCAGTGACCACCTGCATTCATACACAGTAATGAAGGAGGCAAGCAATATACAATTTAGAACAATATCCATTTCATTTGGCCCTCCAAGTAATGCAGTACAGAAAATGCAGCTATTCCGACTATAATAGATTAACTGCATATTTTCCAATAAGTAGTGGCAAGTTCACACGTGAATGGCGAAATATAAAATGTACTCTGGGTTTGGGAAGGGGTGGTTAGGAATTGAACTGACCAGTCACACTCCATGCCATATCCCTTCTTTAACAGCACTTCAGGAGCAATATAGTCGGGCGTACCCACAGTTGAAAACGCCTAAAATCATAGAAGTAAAAATGGAATTCATGCAAATAGTAAAGCAATTTATCAATGCCCAATATTTATTCAGTGGTAATTGGAAGAAAAAAAACCGATGCATGATCTCTCACCAGCTTTCTCCTATTCATTTGCCAGTGCTGAAGTTGTTCAAGAGGACTTCTCCAGCTGCTACTATTTGCAGCATCAGGAAACCGGCTATCAACATCCATTGGTTCCCTTATATTTTCATCATCCATTGCCTCGTTTTCGTTTACTGTAGATAAAGTCCTACAATCTAGTGGTTTGCAAAGACCAAAATCTGAGAGCTTCATGTGACCATTCTTATCGAGGAGAAGGTTATCAGGTTTGATATCCCTAAAAGGAAAAAAAGAATGAGGTGAAGTTGATAGGATAAGCAACCTCTTTTCTGCATGAAAATTTGGAATCAAATGCAAGATTTTTTCAAATGGTAGATCATACACACCTATGAATATAATTATGTTTGTGAATTGACTCAATTGCGAGCACGCTTTGAGCAATGTAAAACTTGGCCATTTTTTCAGAAAGTGTGTCTTCTCTCATTAGCAGTGTCATCATGTCACCACCGGGGAGATATTCCATGATGAGATATAAATACTCGGTGTCTTGAAAAGAGTAGTACAGTTTAACTATACAGTGGCAGGCAACTTCTGCCAATAGGTTCCTCTCTGCTCTCACATGTTCCACCTATGGATCAGAACATTTTGTTAGATGTAAAGAGCTGCTTAATCCCAATCACTTCGCAAAAATACTGGGTGTAGATGCATCAGATTTCATACATAAAAGCAGTAAAAATCGAGATCAACAGGATCATTAAATTCTGCAATTTATAAGCATCCTAGTAATATTCATGAGAACCATAAATTTCACGAACACTAAGCTTGTGATATGACAGTAAAAGAGATGAATGCATGAACTATTAAAAGGAGTTTCATCATTCATGGGCCGTACATGCGACATGCTTAGACTGGATAAATTTTAACTGCCTAGCTTCAGGTTCTGATAACTTTTTATAAGGGATTAGATGATTAGTATTCCTTGTTTGATATGCTTACCTGTCCTCTTGAAAGCATTTCAGATTTCTTCAACTTCTTCATGGCATAAATATGCCCTGATTTTTTCTCCCGGCATAACCGGACCTGAAGCGTTAAATTTATTCAGTCAAGATAAAGCAGTGTATATAAACCAAATATTGATGAAATTTTCCATTTATGAGAGTAACTGCATTTATTGGGGGTGGGGAATCTGAAATAATTCATGCAAGGACTTGTTACATTACAATCATTTTCATACTACAAATTGGCACGAAAAACTGCATTTGTATTATTGAGAGTCTAAAATTAATCGAAGGCCGGCTTGTCTTGACACGTGTGTGTGTGTGTGTGTGTGTGTGTGTGTGTGTGTGTCTATATATATATATATATATATATATATATATATATATATATATATATATATATATATATATATATATATATATATATATATATATATATATATATATATGCAATTACGCGCAACTGACCTCCCCAAAGGCTCCACGCCCGATGATGGCAAGAAGCTCAAAATCATCTACACAGATCTTGTTTCTTCTCAGTCTCATAAATTCCGTCTCCTCTCGTTCTAAATCTTTGATTAGATTTACCTGCTCCTCTTTGGGCACATCTGAAGACGCCAACTTTCTTTCTAGTACCCACCGCCTGGATTGAAGTTTAATAAGAGTTTAGATAAAAAAAATCTTTAACATTAACAAACAATCTAAACTCGCGGTGTAAGCGTTTAACCAAATACATCGTTATGAAGTTGATTTTACGTTACTAAGTTACGCGCGTCTCATTATAACCGATACACTTTCATCTACTGTTATAGTGTGTTAGGTTAGTTATACAGTTAGCTGGGAACAAAATTAATGAAAGATGAGAGAACTTGTAAAAACGAGTAACAAAGACACGATTTGTTAGCGGAAAACATCAGAAAAGGTCAGCTGGCGGACTAGACAGGTGGCAGCTCACCATTGGATAAATGAGGAAAAACGGTTAGAAGTCGAACGAGAAGAGTTAGTTAGCAATATTAGCTATAAATAGAGATATGAGCTGTAATCGAGATTCATTCCAGATATTTTATTTCCTTTTCTCACAACACAGGAGCACGTCGCTATCGATTCTTCCCCGCCGTTCTACATCGTCGAGCTGAGTTAGGGTTCCGGCGAGTGCAGTGACAGAGAGAGGTAAGTGAGGGCTTGGGGTTTTAACGTCTACCAAGCCCACTCAATTTATATTACTTCATCCATTATACACCTAATTTTAGTTGAAACCTATGAAAATACTTTAAATTTTTTTTTAACACAAATACACCAAATTTTAGACAACGCGGTCACAACGTAATCGATTAGGGCTTTTAGGGATTTTTTAGCTTTTCAGATTTAGCATTCTCTAATCTCTTTCACATAACAAATTTAAGGGTACACATACGAAATCCCCAGAGTACAAACTTATTTTATATTTTTTTTTTTGAAGATATTTTCCTTTCCAATTACTTGCATTAATTTTATAATCGTAAAGTTAATGCTACGTAAACGATATATGACATGCAGTTGCTAAAGTAAATGCTCAGTGACGCAACATTTTCCGGGTAAAATTCAAACAGATCCAAATCATAGTCGACATCGTCTATCACTGCGTTGTGTGGCCGGAATAAACAGTAACAAATGACACCCTTGATCTCCTCAAGAACACTTCCACTGTTCTCTTCATCACCATGTTTTCTATCACTAGGTTTATGATTTCTGGTTTATTTCAAGCCATGAGTTCTATTACGAACCCTAGACTTTTGAGATATATTTACATCAATTCATAACACACGATGAATTGAGAATCTTAATCATCAAATATTTCCGATTGGCAATTAATCCGCTTCAGAAATTGAGTTGAGTTGCACTCAGATATCACCGAGAAGGAAATTCTTCCAATTATGACAGTATTAAATATTAATCACAAAAACCACGCAAATTTACCACAGCTAACAACTCAACTGTTGGCGATCAACCAAAATCAAAATTGACTACCAAAACCTAAAACCCAGTGAATATACTAAACAAAAACCATCGGAAACACTACATCGGGCAATAGATCTTGCAAACCACGCAGTTAATCGTCACTCGAGCTAATTAATTCGGGAATAATAAACAGCATTTCCAAGTTTTTTAAGAAAAAAAGTTGCAGATTAATACAAAAAACATGGCTCTCGTTTATACATCTGCATAGGCACATACCTTTCTTTCCTTTCCTGTATGCTTTTCATCTGATTTTTGTAGTGATTCTCGATGAACTGCTTCGCAGCGGCAACCTTTTCCATCGTTAAACTTGAACCTAGAACTTCTTCTTCGCCGCCGTTGTTATTGCTGTCTTCCTCCATTCTTTCGTCTGCAACTGCTCTCTCTCTCTCTCTCTGTCTCTCACTCTCTATCTCTCTTAGACTGCTCTCTCTCTGCGCTCTTTCTCTCTCCGTTCTCTCTCTCTCTCTCTCTATATATATATATATATATATATCTCTATCTCCGTCTGCTTTCTCTCTCTAGATTTCCGCTAAATTTCCGTTTCGGTGTGTGTAAAATGTCAGTACGTATTTATACGTTGAATTTATATGTAAGTGGTTGCTTTGTGGTGTGTGTAGTGTGTGTAATTTATGTCCCGCATAATCCCGTTGGCGTCCGGCGTCGTTTTCTGCATCAGCGCATCTTGGGCCCGGATCCACTACTTCACATTCTTTTTGAACTCCCTGGTCAACTATTTTTAATTATATATAATATAATATTTTGTATGTTTTCTTTTTTTCCTGGATATTTCTATTTCACCTATTTATTTTTTAGTTCAATAATTATTATTTTTATATAGAAATACATTCACGGGGCACACATAGTAGTCTTTACACTAGTCATGTACAAAATTTGTATTGTATTATTTTTTTGGTTTTACTTGAAATTATAATTAAAAAAAGGTCGCCGTTCTTAATTAACTGTCGTTTTTTAGCTTTGCACAAGTATTGAGAGAGTCAATACATGTGTCTTGATTTTAGGAAAAATATATTAAAGATACCAAAATGACCTTAATCATTTAATGATGTGATAAATGATAATTAATACTTTAAATTGAATTCATAAGATGAAAATAGAAAACAAATTACAGTACTAAGAATTTAAAGTAACAAATACTCCCTCCGTTCCAATTTAAATGTCGTTTTGGGTTGTTTTGCACATATTAAGAAAATAAATAAATATGCATAGATTATAGTAAAAAAACAATACAATTACTAAAATATCCTCGACATTTAATTGATTCTCAACTAATTAATTAGGAGTGATTAAGGGTAAAATTGAAAATAATGCAATTAATGCTTTATTGAAAATCTAAAATGACAAATAATTTGGGACAAAAAAAACTCTCTAAAAAGACATATAATATGGGACAGAGGGAGTAGTATAAAGAAAAAAAATACTTTAAAAAACGAGACATTTATTATGAAATATTGAAACTCTATATAAAAGTTATCTTGAACTTTATCAAATTAATTAATGAAGATTTTGACTTTTTTTATTACATAATAAATACAATATGCAGTTTTCAAAAAGTAAGGATAACTTTAGTAGAATTAATAAGACTATATTATTATAATACCTATTATATTTGTAAAATATATATCTCTAAAATTTTAAAATGATAAAGAAGTTCGCAAATACAATGTGAAAAAAAAAAACATTTCAATTTGTCAATAGTGTTTGTGTTGCATGAGAGCTAAATTATTTAAAATTTTATTTGAATACATTTGTATTAGAAAGTACAAATGTGGCAAGGTACAACCAATTTCTTGGTATTAAAAGGTACAAGTTAATCGAAGAGAGTACACGAAAATTGGTTGTAGGGAATAAAAACCAGCTCACAAGGTTCGGATCCGGTGCAAACGACACTTCTGCCCTAAACTGGATCTCACATGCCAGCTGGCAGATCATTTTCTTTTTAATAATTTTTGTTTTGTAGGCTTTAACTTTTCATTAATTAATTGCATTATATTAACAATTAAAAGATTAAAATATTATATGAAGTGCACCTGTGACCTGTGCACAGATTAAAATATTTTTGGGTTGCAGACGAAATCATTAAACCCTAAATAGAGGAAGAAGAAGAATTGAATTGATTATTCCACCAATTCATAAATTCATCCATTTCAATGGGGGATCCTTACTGGAGATACGGCGCCGCTGCCTCCGCCGCTCCTCCGTCGTCCTCCGACAGAGGTTCGTCTGCGTTCCTTAATAGTGTACCCGGAAATTTTACTACGTCTTGTTTTTTTTCAGTTATTAATTAGCTTAGATTCAGTAGTTTATTCACATGAAGATATGTGAATTTCAGTAATTTTATTTATTTACGAAGAGGAGAAGAGCATTGTTATTGTTATGTAGAACAAAGGCAAAACCCAGAGAAATTATATATTTTTTTTCCTGTAGAAAAGGAGAATTATGACAATTGGAGCAATTGAATGCAGTTTTGCCTTATGTCTCAATCTATTATAATTGATTTTTATTCGTCTCGTTTTTGTAGTAATATTGTTCGTATGCAACAGGAAGCATACCGCAGGCGAGCTTTCCAGGATATTTGTCGACCGAAGCGTCAACATTGACCAACTATAACCCTTACAGCTCCATCGATTTGCGGGCTCCTCCCTTGGATTTTCTACAAAAAGATGTATGTATTATCACGTATCGATCTTCCAGACATCTCTGTAGTTAATTAATTATACAAATCATAAAACGATGGCCGTTTTTTTGGTATTTAGATCGTACCATCACGCGGTGGGGCATATCGTGTAGATGACATTCATTCCGAACCAGGTGTCAGTGGATTGATTGGTGGATCTAGCTTTAGGGATTATCCGTCTTCTTTCGACGATCCGAATTTGTTAGTTCGCCAAAGAGATGTTGTTTCAGGCACTAGTTCCGGCGTACCTGATGTGAGTTACGGAAGACCTAATTCAATGTTGAGGACCGACGGCCCACCCGTTTCGGCTGGAGAGTCGAATGTTTTGTTTGTTGATGGTCTTCCAACCGACTCTACTAGACGAGAAATCGGACGTATCCTTGCTAGTTTAGTTACCTTCATGCAATTTCTTGATTTTTGTGGGATATATATTTATTAAAGAGGATGTTATTCATCTATATAAATTAAAAACAGAGTTAACTAATTGATACTTGATTAAATCGGAAAGGTGTAAAGATCTCATTCTGTGTCTTCGGCTCGCAGCAAATGTAAATTCGCAGGAGTATTCCTTGACTTTCTAATAGATCTTTTTCGGCCATTTATTGGGTTTAGGGAACTTAGAGTTGTTCATAAGGAGCCGAGACGTGTAAGTTTTTACTTGGTTCTTTAGTTATGCTGCCATCAGAATGAGTTTCGTTTTACGTTACATCGTATTAAAAGTTAACCTGTTTCTGGTATTGTGGCCATCAGAATGAGTTCGTTTTTTTTTGTTGCTTTTTTTCTTTATTGGCTCAACCGAAAATTCTCTTACACAGCGTGGAGACAAGGCCATGGTTCTGTGCTTCGTCGAGTTCACCGACGCAAAGTGTGCTGTTACTGCAATGGAAGCCCTTCAAGGTTGGATCTTCATCTCCCCGTCTAATGTTCTATAATACATGCCTTGGATTATTTAATGGGATTTTTTAATCATTTAATATAATCTATTGGATCTTCATCTCCCCGTCTAAGCATTTTTTTTTTAGTCTCGTGTTGATTTTAGTGTGCACATGCAGGTTACAAGTTCGATGACAGAAAACCAGAATCCCCTCTCCTTAGGATCCACTTTGCACATTTCCCTTTTCGCCTTCCAACTGATTGAGACAACCGACGAACTCAGGTGTCTGCTGTAATGGTGAGACAAAGCCCCTATGTGCTAACAAGTATTATCTATTTTTGCAATGATAAAAATGCAAATTTGTTTTTTAGGTAAAGAAAAGCCGATTCCGATATCGAAAGTATACGGTGTGGGGGTAGTTGTACACTTGGTTATTAAGGTGAGGAAGTTAAAGTATGGTTTGGAATTGTATATGTTGTCTATGCATGCTATATAATGGACCAATTCAAAGTTAAGAAATTGAGAGCAATATACAAATTCCAAGCAAATAAGCAATAAAATAAAATAAAATAAATATCAAATTTCTATTGCAATCTTAAAATACATTACTTTGGTTAGCAACAACAATGGAAAAAATAATAAAAATAAATTATTTAAACCACCTAGCCATTTCTAACTGCCGTAAGAACTACACTACCACTTGTATATAGTTTCTCTGTATGACTATGATTTCAGCTACAACACACAATCCTCTCCATGTACATAAAATCTACTAACACCACAAAGAATTGTACAACAGTCCAATATTTTCTTCAAACGCTCTACGATAGAAACGAGGTACCGGCATGATTATGATGCAATAAGTTATGCGCGATCGTATCCCTTGCCTTCATAGCATTCGCGGACCTCAACCCAATCTCTGGAACCATCTCGTCATCCACGACCTCAAACCTAACAGCATCCTCCACATCGTCTCCCCTCATCTCGCATATATTATGCAACACGCAACAAGCACCGAGCACAACGGGCAAGTCTTGAAGCTTCACCTCGGTCCTTTTCTGCAGACAACCCCACCTCGATTTCAACCTCTCGAACGCACCCCTCGCGCAATTCCGTACCTCCCCGATCTTCTCGTTGAATGCGTGTTGCGTCCAGGTCAGATGCTGGTGCGTATAAGGCACCAGCACCCAGTCTGTCAACGGGTATCCGGATCCGCCAACGATCCAGACCCCGTTGTAGAAGCCCGCATTGGCTCGTTGGAAAAGGGTCGATTTCTCCAAGACTTGGTCGTCTGGCATCGAACCGGGGTAGCCTATGCATACATCGGTGAAGACCCCGTTTGGATCAACCACCCCTTGAACGGTTATCGAATACGAAGTCTTTTGGTTTCTATCCGTGTGTCGCTTGTTGAAATAAGCCGCCACGCTATTTTTCGGGGCGATTATTGGTATGTGGGTCGTATACATTGATCCGACTATGTTGGGTATACCGGAAATCGATTCGAATTTGTCCTTTACTCGACTCAATTGTTCTTCGTCGGGCCATTTTAGGTATTTCGGCATTAAAACAGTTTTTATCGCGGAGCAAACTTCGAGGACGAGCTTATGGCATGTGGATATGCCTAATCCGAATTTCTTGGAAACGAGGCGGAGCGGCTCGCCGGTGGCTAGCCGCCACAGGCAGACGGCGACTCGTTGTCTGACGGGGACCGCATCTCTCAGCATAGTGTTTTCTTTAGCAACAACAGAGCTCAATTCGTTGCATATGAAATCAAATGTGTCTTTCCCCATTCTGAACGCCTTTTTGAAATCCTCATCCGGAAAATTAGGGCTTTGGCATTGGTCCCACCAATCTCTAGACCTGTTTTTCACCCAGAGCCGTCGCTGTGTCCCGGCTCCAGCGGCGGCTGCCGGAGAGTTGTCAGGCACGGCGGAATTTTTGTCGTCGGAGAATGAATCGGCGGCCACGGACATTGCGGCGGCGGCGGCGGCGGCGAAGGAATTCGCCTTTGACTTTCTCCGGCGGGCAGCTTCGGCGTGTTCTGAATCTCTGTGGAAATCCTGAAGCTCGGAGTAGTAATCAATCATCACGCGTTTTTTCCTGGTGTCGATTTCTTCGAATCGGAGGATTTCTTCCTGATTGGCTCTCTCCTCCTCTTCGAGATCGATTTTCTCTTGGTCCTCGAGCAAAACCAGACAAGTTACGATCTCGTTCACCCCCATTTTAACGGTCGCTTGTTTTCCGTCAACTTCCGTAACGCCGTCGCTCGTGTTCTCTTCTCTCCGTCTTCTCTTCCTCTGTTTGCTTTCGCTCATCTTCTTCTTCTACAAATCGTGTGTTGAAAACGAAAACGAAAACGAAAGCTTCGTATAAAAAAAGTTTTGAGCTGATTGGTTGAATGCGTGTGAACGCAAATGTGAAAGCATGAAAATTGTCTAACTTTACAAAATCGGGGTTTTCAAAACTGGGCTCAGCTTTACGTATATATATAGATACAGATAAGAGAGAGAGAGAGAGATGGTAGAGAGAGAAACAGAAGGTTTTGTTAAAGACGGTGATGAAAGAGTTGAGAATTAGACTACGCGTTTTGTATATGTATATGTATATGTATATATGTTTTGTCTTTTTCATATATTTTTTAATTTGATTTTGTTTTTCTCTATTTGAAAAAAAATAATATTACGATTTGTTTTTTGATTTTGTAGTGATATAAAAATTAAAAATTAATTTGAGCTTAGCTAGTCAAATCATGATGGATTTTGATAATTGTTTAATTAATGCTTATTGTCTGGTTTGGTTGGTGTGATTATTATATCAGAAATTATAACCTTATTTGATGTTTGATTATACTAATTAACTTTTTTTGATTCATTTGCAATTGTGGAAAAATAGATGAGTTTTAATTTGATTATTGAGATATTGTTTATTTGATTATACACGTAACCAAGTCTTTAAGCACCAAAAAATTGATGAAAAAATATAGGGTAAATTACACACACCCCCCTGAGGTAAGCTTAAATAACTGTAAGGTCCCTGTGGTATCGATAATTACACTTAGCCCCCTGAAACGTAGTCAGAAGCTCTAACGGGATAATGAATTGGATATGTGCTTCCGATAGGGTTCTAGCGGACTATTGTATCCAATTCGTTATCCCATTAGAGTTTCTGACTACGTTTCAGGGGGCTGAGTGTAATTATCGATACCACAGGGACCTTACAGTTATTTAAGCTTACCTCAGGGGGGTGTGTGTAATTTACCCAAAAATATAAGTTGAAGTGTAAAGTCCACACTCAACTAGGGGGTCCTAATTAATTTGAATTATAATATTTTTTTTTTACAAATTCACTTTGTTTAAACAGAAGGGGTGACGTAATTTACCCATTATATTAATTACGATTATTACATTAAATTTGTTTCTATTTATTAGCTAGTCGGAACTATTATTAGTGGATGAATCAACACCATACAGAAAAAAAAAATTAAAAAAAAAAAAGAGTGGCTAGATTTGGAGAAAGGTAAAAATAGTAAAAACATGTATTATACTTGCACATAGGTATAACAACAAGGAAATATCTAGTTCGGATGAAATTAAGGTTGTCCCTTTAATTTCATTTTTGTTTTTTTTTTCATGACAAAATTTTATTTGCAAAGAAGGTGGTGATCGATCATTACGGTGGCGATCACGGTGGCGATGGCGGCGGTCATGGTGTTGCACTACTAGCGGCGGCAATCATCATCAACCCCCATTGTACCCACCCACCACCACCTTCCGCACGTTGTCGTTTCGTCAAAACAATATAAATAGACAACGTATATATACATACATATAGATACAAAAAAAAAAAACAAAAAAATGGCACCCCATATTCATCACGACGGCAACCCAACGGTTGTGGCCGTTGACAAAGACAAGCACAGCTCCTCCGCCGTTCGATGGGCCGTCGAACATCTTCTTGTCACCAACACAACTCTCATTCTTGTCCACGTCAAGACCAAACACATGCATAATCATCGTAGGTACCCTTTCTTTTTCCATATATCCATTTTTCTATCTAATATAAATTTATATATATAAATTTTGATCATGCAAGAATATATAAAAAATAAAAATAAAAATACATCCAATCCCATTTGATTTCCCTTTTTTGTCAATCATCACAGAATAAGAAGAAGATTCATGAATAATTTTATGTTCTCATGCCGTGTAAATGCAGACGGATCGAGCGCTGCGGGCCCAGCCCCCGAGGCTAACGATGATTCAATCGACGAAATCTTCACACATTTTCGCGCCTTTTGTGCTCGTAAAAGGGTAATTAATCCATTAACTCTCTCTCTCTCTCTCTCTCTCGAGCTATCTCTCTCTCTCTAGAGATCTCTTCATTTGATTCACTCACTGGTTAAATAATAAATTAATTTACAATATGTTTAATTTGCAGATAGTAATGCAAGTTGTAATACTAGAAGGCGCAGACGTGCATAGCACGCTTTTAGACTACATTAACAGCCACTGTATCACCAATGTAGTTCTTGGTGCATCTTCAAGAACTCTTATGACAAGGTTACACACACACACACACACACAAATAGTTTGCATTTTATTTATGTATATATTTATTTAATTTGGACAAGCACGCAGGAAATTTTGGACACATGATGTACCGACAATAATAAACAAAGCCGCACCCGATTTTTGCACCGTTTACGTAATTTCGAAAGGCAAGACACAATCTATACGACCGGCGGCACGACAAATTTCAGCCAGTTCGACTCCTCCTCGAGTTCCGTCTCCACTTCAGTCACCTGATCATCCATCTCTCAGGTAATTCATTAATTAATATTCAAGAACTAATTAATTTAATTAAAATAAATATATATATATAATTATGACAGAGGAAATCCAGCAAAAGGGCATAGATTAAGTGGTAGTTCTGAGATGATAAAGCATGAGAATTCAAATCTAAGTGATAATGGTTCAATGGACTACTATCAATCTTCACTTGTTAGTGATGGTGGTTACGAGACCTCGAATAAGTGGTCGAAAAATTCGTCTTACGATTGGACCGACGTCTCGAGTAGAGACTCGAGGTTTTCGTCGAGTTCGAGCTCAATGGACACTGATTTAACCGAGTCGGAAATCAGCTTCGGATCAACGGCAAACGTCACAAAATCGAACAATTCTGACAATAATAATAGCGTCACGCGACAAGTAGCCAATAATCACATGGCGAACTCGTCGTCTAATTCAGTAAGTGTATATATATACAGTGAAACCTCTATAAATTAATACAGTCAGGACTAACAGAAAAATTCTATTAATTCAGCGAAATATTAAATTATTGAACTACTAATTAATTCAGGGAAAAGATGGATTGGAGCAGGCGAAGATGGCAGAGGAGGCGGCGCTTGCTCTAGTAGAAATCGAGAGAGCGAAATGCAGGGCAGCCATTGAAGCAGCAGAGAAAGCTCAGAAACTTGCGGTGAAAGAAACGCAGAGAAGGAAGCATGCAGAGCTTAAAGCCAGAAGAGAGACTATAGAAAAGATTCAAGCCCTCGATAACTTGTCGAAAAACGACATTCGTTATCGAAAATACACTTTCGAGGAGATTGAAGTAGCCACTAATAAATTCTCGAGGTCCATGAAAATCGGAGAAGGGGGTTACGGCCCCGTTTTTAAAGGAAAACTCGATCACACGAGGGTAGCCATTAAAGTTCTTAGGGCTGATGCTGCACAAGGGAGAAAACAGTTCCAACAAGAGGTATATTTTATACTCCCTTGTTTTTAACATTATTTCTCATTTCGAATTCTGATTGTTTGGATTTCGATTTTCGATTCGGTTTTAATTTCTGAAAATATCTACGACGAAAATTTCGATTTTCCGGAAAATTTCGCTTATAATATCAAAATTGTGTTCTATATTTTAGATGATTAAATAAAATGGAAATACCGATTCCGATATGAAAGTTTTTGATTTTGGAACAAGTTTTTACTTTTCAATTTCCGATTTTTCAAACGGAATCGGAATTAGTTTTTCACTTCTGAAAAAATTGAAGTTTTATCCGAAAGTGCTAATTCCTATCTAATTCGTCCGATTCCCACCTCTAGATAACACCGTACCGAACAAGAAAATTTCTCCAAAAACGACACTTAATTCAAAACAAAATTAAAGAATAAACACATTTTCGAATTTATATATGTGAAGGTTGAAGTCCTAAGTTTCATGAGACATCCAAACATGGTCCTACTAATGGGTGCATGCCCCGAGTACGGTTGCCTAGTCTACGAGTACATGAACAACGGTAGCTTAGAGGATCGCCTCTACCGAAAGGGGAACACCCCCCCCATACCGTGGGGCCTACGTTTCAAAATCGCCGCCGACATAGCGACAGGCCTACTCTTCCTCCACCAAGCGAAGCCCGAGCCCTTAGTCCACCGTGACCTCAAGCCCGCGAACATATTACTAGACCGCCACTACACATGCAAGATCAGCGACGTGGGCCTGGCCCGCCTGGTCCCACCGTCGGTCGCCGACAGCGTCACGCAGTACCACATGACGTCAGCGGCCGGGACTTTTTGCTACATAGACCCCGAGTATCAACAAACGGGCAAATTGGGGACGAAGTCGGATATTTACTCTCTAGGGGTAATGCTGCTTCAGATAATTACGGCTAGGCCGCCGATGGGGCTGACTCATCAAGTCGAGAAGGCGATGGAGAAGGGGCAGTTTGGGGATTTGCTCGATCCGACGGTGTCGGATTGGCCGGTCGACGAGGCGTTTGGGTACGCGAAGCTGGCGCTTCAGTGTGCCGAGTTGAGGAAGAAAGATAGGCCTGATCTTGCCAAGGTTATATTGCCTGAGCTTAGTAGGCTAAAAGAACTTGGAATGGAGTATGTGTTGAACCATAAGAATAACTCTTCATTGAATTAATCAATTGGAAATCTGTAAATTGGAAAAAAAATGAAAAAAAAAAAATTATGTTCAATTTTAGGTATATATGTATGTGGGGGTTGTTGCTAGTGATATATGATGGTTTAATTTGTTGTGTAATCATTTTGATAGAATATGAAGCAAGTATTTTAATTTGTGAGTAAAACTGTATATATTCATGCTATTTTCTGCAGTCTCTACCCATATTTCAATTGACAATTTATATATATAATCAATTATATAAGTTGCACTGAGTAAACTTATGCACTCCCGTAAAATAACTTGCAAATTATACGAGTGACGTAAATCACAATAGGCTAACCAAGCTTGACCTAGTGAGTAGTGACTGTTGGCTAGTGGATTCGAACTTTGGTCAAATAAGACTAGATCAGTTGCTCCAACCGTTAAGCCATAGTTTAGGAGAGTGAAGAACAATGGTGCTTATAATAAAGGTTGATTCTTCATTGTGTTGAGAGAAAAGCACTTAAAAAAAGTTGGGGAATTGATTGTGGGTGGAGAAAAGGACAATGAAAAGCTGGAAATGGATTGTGGCTGGAGAAAAGCACAACACAATATAACTTTTTTTAATGTAATAATTAAAATGAATTTGTAATAAGTTTTCCTTAAAACATGCATGCATGCATAGGGATTTTAATGTTGTTTATCCAAATTAAATAGAATATATTCAAACTATTGAAGCATATATAAAAGACATGATTCTAGATTCTAGGTGTCTCTATATATAAAATCCATATATAGTACTCTTCAATATTAATGAACCACAAGAAAACATATTCAAGAATTCTTGCATTGCATTATTAATGGCAATAAAATGTACACTACTACTTTTTATGTTCATCTTAATATTATTCATTACTACTAATTCACAATCTCAAGAAGGCCAAAGCGGCGGCGGCGTTCCGCCGGCAGATTTGCTATGCATTAGCGACTGCGAGACGTGCCCCGTCATTTGCTCTCCTCCACCATCGCCGCCGTCACCAGCTACTCCAAAATCTTCCCCCCCACCGCTGCCGCCACCAGTACACCACCAGTCGCCGCCGCAACCATACTACATTGATCTTCCCTCACCGTTGGCGCCGTCTTCATCGCCACCAGAAGCCAAATCTCCACCTCCTCCACCGTCGTATATTTCGTGGGGCGGCGGCGCCGGTGCTCCTCCACCACCTCCATCGGTTTATGTGTATAATCCGGGCACGACGGTGCCACCGGTGATGGGGCAGCAGAATTACTCTTACCCTTACTATTATTTCTATACTTCGGAAGCTTCTTGTTATGTTCGGCCACTTCGTTGGGGCTTTATTCTTTTGTTTTTGTTCATTTTGCACCCAACTTTTGTATGAATTTAATTAGGTCATCTTTTTTCTCAATGTATTTAGATTAACTAATGATTAATGAAAAAATTTCATCTAAAAAAATAAGGGCAAATACCATTATTTATTCTTCGATCCTGAACTGTGTAGCACGGACGCGGAAACAACGATACGGGGAAACGACATGTTCAATAAACTGGGATACTAGAACTTAGGAGAAACGAGTAAATATTAAAAGTATAGGGGTATATATATAAATATGCTATATAAACATATACAAAATTTTCTATACATATAATTTTTTTAATATATTTCCATACAAATATATTCAAAATAAATATTCTTATCAACTATGAATTGGCAATTAATCATTATTATTCTCACATATGTTTCTAATTTTTCAGAAATTGCAAAATTGTTCATAAGGTTTATCACAATTGCAAATTTCCTCCCTAAAACTTTACGAATATCATATAGATCCAAAAGAGAAAATCTCATTTTAACTAGACAAAAACCCACTGCAACAGATCTCTATAGTAAACACCGATCCAACTCTGATGCTCTAAGAAATGACGGCAATGGCGTCGCCACGAGCTCCGGCGAATGACGACTATACGACGGCGATGTTGAATCTTCTCCCGCTCGCCTCCGCCGCCCAGCAGCCATATGTCTCCGAACTTCTCTCGTTCACTCTCGATCGCCTCCATAAGGTTTTGCACAATCTTAATTTGCTAATTACACCTCCAGGCTTTGCAATTTGAATAATATTTATTAAATTTTATTTTTTGTTTCTGATACCTAAGGAACCGGAATTGTTGAGAGTGGATGCGGAGAGAATACGGCGGCAGATGCAGGAGGTGGCGGTGGGCAATTACCGTGCTTTCATTGCGGCGGCGGATGCATTGCTCGAGATCCGGGAGGAGGTTTCTTCTATCGACAAACATCTCGAGTCTCTGGTATTTTCCTTTGTGAATTGTTGATTTTGATTTGAAATTTGAAGGTTCTAAATTGAGTAATAAAAGTCATTTTGGGCATCTTCAATAATGCTGGTTCTGAAACATGCGAAATCATGGTAGAAAAAACTGAATTGTATTTGTGAATTTGAATGTTCATTCTGTTCGTTTATGAAGCAAAAGGATTAATCGGAGCTTGTTTTAATATTTATACCTCCTATGAATTTAGAGGGGTGTTTGAGTTTAGAAACTCTAGATAGTGTTGGAGTTGGACACATGAATGCTGGTATAAGTTTACTGCCTTTTGTTTCTGCGTCGTGCTCGTATTATCAATGCGAGCACAATGACAAACTGATGGAGATTACCTACATACTTTTCCTCTTCTGCAGATAGCTGAAATTCCAAAGCTAACGTCTGGTTGCACTGAATTTGTCGATTCGGCAGAACATACTCTGGAGAAAAGGAAGATGAATCAAACATTACTGGCAAATCATAGTACTTTGCTTGATTTGCTTGAAATCCCTCAGCTCATGGACACGTATATCCCCAATCTTATGGTGAACTTGTAATTTTATCTTTGATATTCTCGATGTTACCTGTTAACTATAGTTAATTTTTGGTTTGATACAGATGCGTAAGGAACGGAAATTTTGACGAAGCACTTGATTTAGAAGCATTTGTAGCAAAACTTACTACAATGCACCCAAAGTGAGTTCCTTCTGTAAGCAGCACAAGTTTGTTCCATTTGTCCAGCTAATTGAAGCATTTATTTGAGGCACTATTTCTTATTTTCTCTATCAAAAAAGAATTCCCTTGATTCAGGCTCTAGCTGCAGAAGTTCGGCAGACCACTCAGTCTCTTCTTTATCAGCTTCTCCAGAAACTTCGATCTAACATTCAGGTACCATGTTTTATACTTTTACTTTAAATGAAGCATGTATAGTTCCGAGCAAATAGAATTCAGATGTGAATTATTTTTAATTTCTGGCAGTTGCCCGAGTGCCTTCGAATCATTGGGTATTTACGCCGAATAGGAGTTTTCACCGAGTATGAAATGCGACTACAGGTAATATGATCAACGTTTACGTTATCTGTGTGTTATGGTCCTTGGTCAAGGGTTATTTTTACTTTTCTATGATTGTTAGTTTCTGATCAAGGATCCTTTTCCATTCATCAGTTTTTGAGATGCCGCGAAGCCTGGCTTACTGGAATACTGGATGATTTAGACCAGAGAAATCCCTATGAATATTTGAAACGGATGGTAAATTGTTACAGAATGCATCTTTTTGATGTTGTTAACCAGTACCGAGCCATATTTGCTGATGACACATCAGGAAATGAAGAAAATTATGATGGAGGCCTTCTATTTGACTGGGCCATGCATCATATTACCTCGCACTTGAAGACCCTTAAAATCATGCTTCCTAAGATAACCGAAGGTGGATCTTTGTCAAACATTCTGGATCAATGCATGGTAAGATTTTGTTATTGTTCTTTGTCACTAGTGTTGCTCCTTTCTATTGCCTCTCCACCCCCAACCCAAATGTCGGCCCAAACAAAAGTAGATAAATATAGCGTATAATCATAAAGAAATTAAGAAAAGCAAAAATGTTAAACATCAAAGCTAGGCTATGTATTTCCCTATCATCATTTGTGAAAAGTTCTTCGTGAAGATAATATACAGCATACGCATACAGTAGTCGTTTGTTGCTTATCCTATGGTTGGAAGCAGATGAATGCTTGATGATCATTGATATTGTAGGATCTGTAGGAACTTGGATCCCTGTTAACACCATTCTGTTGTCAGAACAAGAACCCAATTCAAAAATTTGAAAGTTGTTCCACTCATTGGAAAATATACCAACTAAAATCAATTTGGATTACTAAAATCAATTTCGAAAAGAAATATAAAGAAAGAATGGGGGAAAAGAAAGTCAGGAAAGGAACTATAATTTTACCATTCCTTGTACACATATGTCTTCTGACACTGAACAAGATACCTCTGCATTAGAAGTTGCTCATTTGGTTCAAAGCTTCATGTCAGTAGTTTTGTATGAAAAAATGACGTGTGTACTGTTTTATACGATTTTTTTCCTCATCTGTATTCTACAGTATTGTGCTATGGGCCTTGGTTGGGTTGGTCTGGATTTCCGAGGACTGCTTCCCCCTCTTTTTCAAGAGTAAATATACATTCATCCCCTTTTGTTCCTTTACATACTTTGGCTGGCATTAGTAAACCTCTCATCTGGATATTTTCATTTCACAACAGAGCAGTGCTTAGTTTGTTTTCCAAGAATATGAGTACAGCTGTTGAAAATTTCCAGGTATAATTTCCATTACATAATAGTGGCTGGCATAGCATGTTTACAATTTGGATTACTATAATCTTTCCACGACGGACAGTATGTCAAATGTTTTAATTAATCCAGATAGTGTTGGATTCTCATCGGTGGGTCCCGTTGCCAGCAGTTGGCTTCCCTGCTACTAGTTTGGGTGAAGAAAGTACCGATGATGTTTCGCCTCCTTCAAATCTTATGGAGCATCCACCCCTTGCTGTTTTTACCAATGGTAAAGCTGAAAGTTCATTTCACTTGTTCGCAGTGTTTAACTTAGATTGTTCCTAAGGTTCTGATTGAATCAAGTAAAAACAATTTCCTCGTCTAATCGGAGGGTAAAATGAAAATATTTATTCCATCCAAAGCAAACACATTTTCCTAAAAAAAGTTTTTCTTGGATTTTCATATTTATGTTTTTCTCATTTCAAACCCCATTATATTTATCCCAGTCACAATCTAAAAGTATTTCCGTTTAATTTGGTAAAGTCGACAATAATTTAGTGTTTGTTTAATTTTCATCTTCGGTCATGGCAGGTGTATCTGCAGCAATGAACGAATTACGCCCTTGTGCTCCATTAAGTTTGAAGCATGTTCTTGCTCAGGAATTAGTCAAGAGTTTACAGGCGGTTTCCGATTCTCTACTAAGATACAGTACAACTAGGATTCTCAAAGACAGCGAATCCATCCTTTTCACTAAACTCTGCCAAGCATTCATTGAGGTAAAAAAAAACTTCGATCAAAAAACTGTTTTAAGAGTTTTTCGTTAGCTTCAGATAATAATTTGCACCTTTATTCATATTCTGCAGACTGTTTTTCCACATTGTGCTACGTTCTTTGGTCGTTGTTACCTTGGTGGAGCTGCTCTTATCTCAGATGCGAAAAACTTATTTGTTGGAATCGACAGATTATTAGCAAAACAAGCACCAAAAACTATTCATTATGCTGGAGCCAATAAAACATCAGAGAATGGGGTTCATCATACTATTGTACAAACTGCAAGCGCTAGCCTTGGCGAAAAAGAACAAAATTATACGAGCCCACAAAAGGCAAATCCAGCTGTAAATGAAGAAATTCAAGAATCAACAATATTACAAAACGATTTGTGATCATTCCTTTTTTTTTTTTTGGTCCGCTTCTATTGTATCGGTTGAAGTTTAGTTATGGCCTCATAGATGTTACATCGAGTTAATTACAATGGATATCATATCATTGTAGATTCATACACATTAAAATGTCTGCAAAATTTACGGAGGAGTAGAATAAAATACATCGTTGTAAAAGATAGGTGGTGCTTTGGCTGCGACGACATTTATCTTCCAACTAACTGAGTATATATGTATTATATATAACTTGTATACTGTTACAAAGATTTGTGTGTAATAGATCACACTGCATGCGTAAAATGAAACCCGTCCTTCCGTTTACATCTAAATACGCAAATTATATACATATCACAACAAATTACTTAATGTGTCATAACTCTGAAGATCAATTCAAGATGAGAACTCCCTTGATTCATTCTATGGATCCCTGCCTGGAGATATATACCTAAGCAATTACCTGAAATTCAAAACTGCAGTTGAAATCTTTCGATATCATAATTCTGTGATCGAAACCTAAATCATTAGACTCAACACACACACACACACACACACACACACACACACACACACACACACACACACACACCGTATATTAACTAGCGTGATTCATCAACCTTTCGTAATAATTTTCATTGATGAGAAATCATAATCCAACTTCGAAAATGGATGATACTATTAATAAACTTTATCGAGTAGTTGGAGGGAGAGGAGTGATAGGTTAAGTGCTCCAAGTCAGAAAAACACCCCAAATAATATGTAAGAATTTAACAAACCATCTCTATTCATATGCAACCTTAAATAAATCGTATCGGTTGCATGTGGTTCCATGATTCATAAATAAATATAATATGAAAAAAGTATATAAACAAATATATGCAGCATAGATTAAAGATTGACAAGAAAGGATTATATGACCTAATGATACTAGATAAATGAAACTTGAAACCCTAATTAATTAATTACAAAAAAAATTCCTTTGCAACGTCTTATTAGCTCCGATTAGTAGTTGATCCCTGTAATATCCATTGAAATACATATACAACAAAAAATAAAAACCTTAGTACATAAATTAAAAAAAGGAAACATTTGATTCAGATTAAAAACTAATATATATATTGGAGAGAGATTGATTTTCTTTTCTATAAGAAACAATTCAATGAAAACCACATAGACAAATTAAAGACAACACTCAAAACCAAGAAATACAATTGCATAAGAGCCACCTAGTCAAAGACAATCATATCACTTAGCCAAAGACAATGTATACTCAAACGAGAGAGAGAGAGAGAGAGAGAGAGAGAGAGAGAGAGAGAGAGAGAGAGAGAGAGAGAGAGAGAGAGACTATGTAACATCAACAATTTTTTGTGCACTAAAAGTGGAGGAAGACTTGTATAAAGCATAGAGACAGAATCAAGTGGCATTTGTTGAACCCCTCGTGGTGTTTCGATAAACCGATCAAAATGACAAATAGTGAATACACCATACATATATACATACATATAAATATATGGCCTTAGAAAGGAAATTCAACACTTTTCAAGAAAAATAAGAACAAAACCTCTAGATTTTCTTATAAATTTAAATGGATATATGTAGGAAAATTAGAATCATAACCTTCCACAAGGCCTCTATCACAACATGACCTAAATAGAAGATCAGCTTATAAAAGAGTCAAATTTGGGAGCTTTTATTTCAGTTTTGCCACAATAACCTCTAGATCTAAAATTACTTATTAAAAAAAACCCTAGATCTAAAATCATTCCCATCTCTCAAGAAACCCTAAAATCAAGTGATGAACCCTAAAACCATGTTATTTCACTAAAAATAACATAAAGTTTAAGGGGATTCACAAAAAAACAGCAGATCAGAAGATCTATTTGTGTGTGTGTGTGTGTGTGTGTGTGTGAGAGAGAGAGAGAGAGAGAGTGGCGGGGTGACAGAGAGAGGGTGAGCACGCATAGCTTCAAGCATGGTGAGAAATCAAAGATTCATGCAAGAAAACACCATGTGTGCTCACTCTCTTCTGTCACCTCCCTTACCCCTTTTAATAATAATATCCATCCAAACAAACACTATCACTTTCCCATATCACTGGACAACATACACAAACACACCTCTCATCTCTCTCTCTCTCTCTATATATATATATATATACATAAAGAACAGAAAGAAAGAAGGGTGTGTTTTCTTTTTTGGTGATGAACAGAAAGAACCCTAATTTGGGAAAGAAACCCTAAAATAAAGAGAGAGAGAGAGTAGAGTATAGTGGGGGAACTGTTCCATAAGAAAAGGAGTACTGCTTTTGATTTGATGTGTGGAAGAAGTGATGGTGGTATTGTCTCTTTATATAGCAATTCTAAAAGGGTTTTTAACGGTGGAAGAATAGATGTGGTTTTATCTTTTTATGGGCCTGCCCCCACACTCTCTCTCTCTCCCTCTCTCTCTCACTTATTTTATTTCCAAACTCTCCTCAAACATCTCTCTCTCTTCTCTCTCTCACACTTATTTTATTTTCAAACTCTCCTCAAACATCTCACTCTCTCTCTCTCTCTCTCTCTCTCTCTCTTTCTTTCTTTCTCTCACACACACACACTAACACACACATTTTGTGTGTGTTATCTTCTTCCAAGACTATGCAAAACCGAAAAGTTTTTTTTCTTTTTTAAACAGGAGAAAAGAAATTCGAGTACACCTACCGATGCATTATATTTTCTTGTAATTCTAAATCTTTTTAACGGCCAATGGCAATTATCTCTTTCTGTTTTTTCTTTATTTGGGATGATGATCATTTTCAGACCACCTTGCTATCTATCTTCTCTGCACTGCAGTGACAGTGTGGTCAACTCAACTCATTGAATGTTTTTATGGGGGGTTGAGAAATTGTTTTTAATCTTGTTTATCTTTTCAAGGTGGAACAAATAGAAAGCCTTTCCCATATTCAATTCAATAATGGATTTTTTTTAAAGAATTCCCAATTTTTTAAATATTTCATTCTACTATTCTAGTCATAGTTCCAAGTACTTAATTGATGGGGGCTTAATTAATTGTCCAAAGAGGCAAGAATAAAGATCGTCTCATTCATTACAACTGTTAAGTGTACTAAATAGTCCTACATAGGGTACGTATAAGCGGTAGATGTGACTATATTCGATCCAATTTTATAAATAGGGGTGGAAAACCTACATCGTGATGTTGATTGAAAATAGGTCCACCAACCAACAACGAGCTCGTTTAGGGTAGTTAAGAGCAACCATGGAGTGACCTAGATTGCAGTAAGAGGAAGCAGATCGCTTTCACTAGGTAAATTGAGTTTTGGAAGCAAGTCGCGTTACCTTGCATGTGCATCGTGGCTTGATAAGACATATGTCCCACCAGATCTATCCCCATGGGATCGGAGGTATAAATACAAGCGTGAAACACAAGGAAAAGCATGTTCCTTCTCTCCCTATGATACATTCGATACACTATTATATATCTCGGTGAGAGATATATATTGTTTTACACTCTACTCGACTGACTTGATCATCGAAACGCTAACGTCGTAAATAGTTTCCCGACAGTTTTTTTACAGGTCTCGTAAGGCAATTGGACTCTTTCTCAGACGGACTTTCTTTTTTCTTGGACTTCTCGTTATCCTGAGACCCGTTTCATTTCATTGTTATTACTATTAGGGCAATTTTGGGCATCATTATAAATGGAAGTAGCTAGTCATTCAACAAAATGCATATATGAAGAATAGAATAGGAGAAAGAGAAAATTAAGACATAATAGAAAACCCCATTGGTTATGGGTTGATTTGCATTGAATACATGTAGAGAAATATTACAAGTTAATAGAATTTAATTAGGTAACTAATCATAACTAATCTAGGTACGTAACTGAATATATTAAAAGAGTTCTATAATATCAAATAATATGATATACTCTAGCAATGTTTTCCTCCTATGAATTCATGCTTTGATTATGTTGTATACACGAGTACAAGGTGTTAATAAAGCTAACAAATTACAAAACTATTTCACCTACACCATATAACTATGGTTTAGGCATAAAAAAAAAAACCATATGTTTTTATTTTGGCAACATAAATAATTAAAAATTCCAAGTTTTGATTTGGGTTTTCTTGTGCGTCACTATGGAAATGGATGGGGCATCGAATCTTTAATTTTTTCAGAAAATGGGATATAATTACTTTATTGAGTTGATGAATTAAACAAGTGTTAAGGATGATTAAATCTGCCGACGTCAATTATATTATTACCTTTTTATTTATATATAATAATAATTTAGTGGATAAAGATATGTTGAAAGACTTTTACAACCAAACAAATGATAAAGTGCTTCTTGATTGACTCTTTTCTCGTTATTTCCTCACCTCTCATAAGATAGACGAATTGAAATCAACCACTACTATCTCAATGCATTCACTTAATTAAATTTCCATAAAGACTTCATTTTTTTCGGGGTGAAAATATAATTAATACATTCTTTGAGATCTAATTATCAAATTGACAAATATACTACTCCCCCAGCTCGTTCAGGCGGTGGATGCATGTGACTACATTAGGCCTAATATTAGAAATAAAGAGGGAAAACCTGTGTCAACACGACATGGACTAGGGAGATGTAGTATTTTCACTGAACTGGCCTAGTAGGTCGCATGGAGCAATATAGTTCGTGCCCCTCAGCAGACATTAAGCACAACTTGTAGTCGTCACACTACTACCACGTGTGATCTGACCAAAGGCATAACGTGGGACCCACCATCCAATTATTCTTACGACAGTTATAAATACAGTCTTGGAAGTACACATGCAAGAAAAAAGACGTTGATCTCCTCGGTATTCTAATTAATAATAGTATACACATTATTCCTATTATACTTTCTCTAAGTAAACCCATTTCTTTAAAATTGCGACTGACATGATATTGTTGGAGTGCTAGAAAATCTAGATCGACACTGATTTTAATTTTTGCAGATCTCTGCAGGAACCACGTGGACTTGTTCTTACGTACTAAGATTTCTCGGACTCATTCCACTTCTTCAATTCGTGATTCAGCCAATCTAGATCATTACAATGAGAAGGCAAGTAAGTATCAATGTATAGTAATACAGATTCCAGGGGTATGGGGACTAAAATATAAAAATGAAATCTTTATAGAAAGATAATAAAGGGAAAAAAATAAAGATAAAGCTACTGTAGTTGATCCAATGGAATGTGAACAGACGATTAGTGGTGTAAACCCACGCGTACATCTTATACGGCGCCCAAAGCACCCCATATTATTATTTTTTTAATTAATTATTTATTATTTTAATTATTATTTAGTAAGAGTATAAAACAAAATCGAATAAAGTAATATATGCAAAGAAGAATCAATCGACAAATACATGTTCGAATTAATGGGTACAAAGGCGTACTTTGCGGGTTACTCACATTCTCATTTCATATACATTCACATTCTCAATATTAATTATTCTCTTTAATTAATTATTAATTATTAATATTAATATATTATCATTTTGCAAATTGATGTCATGCTCCAACATGGTTGCTTTCTTCAAAGCAATTCTACTTTATCCTTTTTTTTAATTTTTTTACTAACCATAACATGCACATAATTATGATTCTATGAGATTAAGTCAATCACTCTTGATTAATTAGCATATATCTTAATTAAAGTTTACTTTTTTCTTTCAATGTTAAAAAAAAAAAAGTTAATAAGGCCTTACCGCGGTATTAGGAAACCCGCGGCAAAATTATAATTAATTATGCCTTTCGGTAGTATTACAGTTTTCGGGAGCGGCGCCTCTTTTTCTGCACTGTCACAAAGGACGCGTCAAAGGGTCTATGAGATGTTGCACCTGATGAAAAATATCAGATGATCAGCGTCATAGATCTATACAAATAACTATTCATTAAACACACATACATATTAGTGTGTTATGTGTACATCAATCGTGCATGATTATCCGATATATATAGTTCACTGAGTTTAGCGTCTACAAAACCGCCTCAAGGTGAATTAAAAAAAAAAAATCAAACTTTATTAAATCTTGAAAATGTCAAAAATTCTATTCTATTTATTTGACTAAGTTAAGCCATGGTTTCAAAGTTAAGTGAGAGAGTACTTAAAGAAAACAATTATATTCTTTTTTTTAATTAATTGATGTCATAAATCAAAAGAATCTTATACAATAGAATAATTGAACAGTGTGGTTTGCATGATGAACAGTAGTTGTTTCTAGGCGGCTAGCTAACATGGGGTTCATTAGCCAATTAATCCTCATGATTAATTTAATTATATTAATTAGCTCATATAATTGTACTTTCAAATTTAGGTTCAATTTGCTGATCCCATGATGACCTGGCGTTGGATTATTAAAATCTTTCCTTTTATGGAAGTTTATCAGTTGTTGACGTGGCATTGGGAACCCCGCCACTTTCCCTTCTAGTTGTAGTTTTTTTATTATTATTAATTTATTTTTATATTAAATCTTCAATTTTGTAAATAAATATTAGTTAATATGTGAGGAGGATCAAGAATGATGATTGAGGTAAGTTTGATCACGAATTTTAATTGAATGCAACAAAAATCGAGAGGATTAAAATCTCATTGAACTTCATTCAAGATTTGTTCGTTAAATTGATTAGCCGAGTTCAAACAATTTTTTTGATCGTTCGATCTAATCGAGTATCTAGCAATTCGATTTAATTTCCGACTTTGACAATCAACGTTAAAATGTTAAAACACTATCTACTCGGTGAAATCAAACCTCAGTTAGTAGAACTGTAGGGTTCGAATCGTGCCCTCCCTTTTTTTCCCAGTTTGTAATATGATTCGAATTTTGAAAAAAAAAAAAAAAACATTATATAGTCGTTGGGCTTGAAAATAATTAATTTAGGTTTTCACAAAGTTGATAATTTTTAAATAAGCCCAATTATTATGGGCTCATTCATTGATCTAACAAGCCCAATAATATTTATTTATTTATTTATAATTTGGTCCAAATTGCGGCTATTAATAAACTCTAGGCCCAAATAGACCTATTTTAACGACGTCGTTTAGGCGATTGAAGAGGCAGGGGTAAAAGAGTAAATGACTAGGAAGGAGACAAAAGATGTCGTGGGCTCAACTCAAAATCCCTAAAAACACAGCAGCGTAGTTTTTTTCATTACAGTTTTTACATTATTTCTCCTGAACTCCGCGGCGTAGATCCGAGGAGTTTCGGGAAATCATCGCAGATTAAATCGCGCTTTCTCTCACTAAGTTTTTTCATCCTCCGATCAGTACTAATCCAGTTTTTTATCAGGTAACTTAATCGGAACTGCGTTTTTGAGCTGTAATTTTTTTTTTTTTTTTTTTTGTGTACGTGTTTTTACGTATGCAGCATCATATATTTGTAGGGTTTAGGTGAAGTAATTACGATTTTACTTTGTTCCTTGAACAGAGACGAGTGATTTTGCTTTTTTCGTGTATTTTGTTAGTTCAGGTGTTTTATGAAGAAAAATCGTTTATTTTATGTTGTTAATTCAGCTTGTTTTGTTGTGCTTTCGTTGTAGAACTTTCAATTTTTTGTTGTTGATGGAGTTGATGTTAAAAAAAACTGTGCTAAAAATTCGTTCTTTAAAGCTATAGATGTATGTGCGCACACAAATAGCTTTTGAAATTGACAGCATCTGAAGCTCAATAAACTACTTTGGCTTTTACGGTGTCCGGTGTATCGGAATATATGTTTTCAAGTGTACTTGTGTCGAGTGTTCTGGTGGTTTGTTGTCTGGTTTCCGAGTGTTCTCGACTACTCGTCTGTATATTTATATATTTATTCTGTTTCAATCTGTTGTGGATGATGGGTCTTTCGTTCGCTAACGAATTCGCTTTTTTGCTTAATGATTTTCTTGACAACATTAGATATTTTGAGTCTAGGGTCGACTATAGTTCCTATTACGTTGCTGATGTTATGGACGTTCGTGACGTTAAGGAGTATTGACATGTGCTAATCTGTATTACATTGCAGCGTTTCTCGTTTCAATTTCGAGATTCCAATACCTTATATTGTTATAATTGTTTGTTTTCTATTTCTTCAGTCATGGCTGCAGCAGCACCTGAAGGTTCTCAATTCGACGCCCGCCAGTTCGATGCGAAAATGAACGAGATGTAAGTTCTCCTTTCTGCTACTACTACTTCATTTCCGTACTATTGTCATTGACCTAAGTCGATTGCTACAGACTTGGGGCTGAAGGTGATGAATTTTTCACAAGCTACGACGAAGTGTACGACAGTTTCGACGCCATGGGCTTGCAGGAAAATCTCCTTAGAGGCATTTACGCCTATGGTACATACGCAACCAATTTTCTTTATAGACAGTACAAGAGTCAAGATTGTTAGCATGCTTATAAAGTTAAACTTATTTGCTTCGTTTTTTAAGGTTTTGAGAAACCGTCGGCAATTCAGCAAAGAGGGATTGTCCCATTCTGTAAAGGGCTGGATGTGATTCAACAGGCTCAATCTGGTACCGGAAAAACTGCTACCTTTTGCTCTGGAGTTTTGCAGCAGCTCGACTATAGCCTAGTTGAATGCCAGGCTCTGGTTCTTGCACCAACCCGTGAGCTGGCACAACAGATTGAGAAGGTTATGCGGGCCCTAGGTGATTACCTTGGTGTTAAGGTTCACGCTTGTGTAGGTGGTACCGTTGTTCGTGAAGATCAGCGTATTCTTTCAAGTGGGGTCCACGTCGTGGTTGGTACACCTGGACGTGTGTTTGACATGTTGAGAAGGCAATCGCTCCGCGCTGATTACATCAAAATGTTTGTGCTCGACGAAGCTGATGAGATGCTCTCCAGAGGGTTCAAGGATCAGGTTTTCCTCTTAGCTTTTGTACTTTACTTTTTTCGTGCTTTCACTTTCACTTATCGTAAAGTGATTTCAACTGTATGCCGTTACTCTTTCAGATATACGATATCTTCCAGCTGCTGCCACCCAAGATTCAAGTGGGAGTGTTCTCCGCCACTATGCCGCCAGAGGCCCTCGAAATCACGAGGAAGTTCATGGCTAAGCCCGTTCGTATTCTCGTGAAGCGTGACGAGTTAACCCTCGAGGGTATCAAGCAGTTTTACGTTAACGTAGACAAAGAGGACTGGAAACTTGAAACCCTATGCGACCTCTATGAAACACTCGCCATCACACAGAGTGTCATCTTTATCAACACGAGGCGCAAAGTTGACTGGTTGACCGATAAAATGCGAAGCCGTGATCACACAGTGTCGGCCACTCACGGTGACATGGACCAGAACACGAGGGATATTATTATGAGGGAATTTCGATCAGGTTCTTCGAGGGTTTTAATCACCACTGATCTTTTGGCACGTGGAATAGATGTGCAGCAAGTCTCTCTTGTGATCAATTACGATCTGCCAACTCAGCCTGAGAACTACTTGCATCGTATTGGTCGAAGTGGAAGGTTTGGGAGAAAGGGTGTTGCTATAAACTTTGTCACTAAAGATGACGAGCGCATGCTTTTCGATATACAGAAGTTTTATAATGTTGTGGTTGAGGAGCTTCCGGCTAATGTTGCTGATCTACTCTGATGGGTTTTATTTTCTCCTTTTTTTCGGCTTGTCGTTTGTTTGTATTTGTATAATTATCTGAAAAATATCTGCAGATTTTGATGTTTGTTTAACTTCTCTTGTTGTTGGATTTTTAATTGTTTTATGTATGTGAAGAGAGTCCTTTTGAGCATCCTTGGGTTTGATTTTATTTATCCTGGGAGATGATACTACTGGAGTGTGATACTATATGGTTCTTGTGTTCGTATTATATATTGGCCTGTTGTGTAAATAAATTATATTCAAAAAATAGATAATAACTGTTAGTGTAAATTACGGCCACCCTCAAGGTAAGGTCAAATTACGATTGAGAGGTGGTTGTTAATTACCCAACATAAAGGATTTTGTCGTAATTTAACATTACCTTAGGGCGCAAATTACCCCGACTGTAATTTAGGTATATAATTCTGTTATGACACGAATTTTCGCATAACCGTATCGAAATATATAGAAAGAAAGACGGAAATTGAACGAAGAGAAGTAAAAGAGGAGAACAAAAGAAAACCTAGCTTCATCAACATATGCAGACAATCCAATCACACAATCTCACTAGCCTAATTATAAACAAAAATAACTCCAACCCTTAAAAGTAAACTAGTTACACAAAAGCCATCTCGAAAATAAAGTCCGAAAGCAAATTTCTCCTAAAAGTCTCTGACTACTGATCAACAACACTCTGACCTTGAAGAAGACCCTCGCGAATCTGCGAGGTGATGTCTTTAACAGCACCAGGTCCATGTGGGATAAAAACGGCACTAGTCTTTGATGAAGCTCCGATTTCCTTCATTGTGTCAAAGTACTGAGTCACGAGAACCATGTCCATTACATCCTTTGCACTTGTACCGGGTACATTCTCCGAGAATGCCAGCACACTGTCTCGAAGCCCATCCACAATCGCTTGCCTCTGTCGAGCAATACCAAGTCCAGACAGGTACTTTGACTCTGCTTCGCCCTCGGCTTTCTTGATTTGGAGAATCTTCTCTGCTTCGGCCTTCTCGTTTGTAGCTACCCTCATCCTAGCAGCTGTTATATATAAAATGAACCGTTTAGTGGGAGTTTGAAAAAAAAAACGAAAGAACATTTGTATAAGATGTAACGAGTTTTAAGAAATTACTTGCCTGCGTTGATTTCGTTCATGGCTCGTTTGACATGAACGTCTGGTTCAATGTCAACAATTAGGGTCTGGACGATTTCGAACCCGTAAGCAGACATGGCCTACACATGCAGCAAAGGCAAATCAATAAATTTAATAAAAAAACCTTCGAGCGGATTAGATATTGAATCCTTATGGTAACATGATTTTTGAGTAATAAGTACCTTTTCGAGTTCTTCCTCCACAGCTTTGGCTATTTCATTCTTTTGTTCAAAGACAGAATCCAATAACAATCTCGGCACACTGGCTCTGATGACTATAAAGGAAAATGAAAAGGGGCAAAAAGTCATACTTATCTCGGATAAACGGCTGATTTATTGCATTAATATCCAAAAAAAGGTAATATTTAATAATCAAGCATCCAAAACTACTTAGGCCCATAGTCGAATACGTGCTCGAACCAAGTGACTCACAGAGCAAGAGGGAAAAAAACAATAATCAATATCAAAATCATGATGCACATCCCACAGTTTTGTTAGCAAGTATGATATGAAAAGAAAAAACACGAAAGAAAATCTGCGTTACATCTTTTTCAATGTGGAATAAAATCATACCATCAAAAACATACGACTGGATCTGTGCCTTTGTGTTAGTGAGCTTATAAAATGCATCAGACGCATTTTGTGCCACAGCTCGGTATTGGATGGAAGCCACCACAGTCACGAAAACATTGTCCTGAAAACAGGGTATTAAAGTTAGCCAAAGGGTCATTTATAAAGAACTGATGGTAAAAATATTTGAAAATTGCAGCAGATAGAATTTGGGAAGCAACCTTAGTTTTTGTTTCGCAACGAACATCTAGCTGTTGCACACGAAGTGAAAGGGTACCGGCCATCTGGTAACCGAAACACCATGGCAAGCAGTGACAGCCAGGATCAAGAACAGAATCAAATTTACCGAAATGTTCCTTCATAGCAACGGTTGACTGGTCAACTTGAACACAGCAGAGTGCTTGACCCATTGTTAAGACCTACAGCATAATAATCTTATGAAATAATGTAAAATTAATATATATGCAATACTATCAAGAGTAAATTGATTCATTAAATTCAAATGAGACCCTCTGTTACAGTTAACCCTTAATAGAAGCTAAAAATTAGGGTTAGTAAAATCTATAACAGTTTCTTAATGGCGCCAAAACAAGCTAAAAAATACAGAAGCACGTCGCAGAAAACGAATCAGTGAAAACCAGAAATTAGGGTTCGTAATTATGCACACGGTCGTAAATTCTATAAAATTTGGGAAATGAACAAACGCAGATCACAAATTCACAATAGCAGAACTTAAGATCACTACTTAATTATCTCATCTACTACAAAAATTGAAAAGGAAGGAACCCAAATCATCACACACACACACACACCAGATAACACAAACACCTACGTGAAATTCCCCCCCAAAAAAACCGCAGAAAATTACGCAATGCCTACAAATATGAAACAACAGAACACACACCAAAAACAAAGATTATAAGGATGTGAGGAAACCCACCTCTGAAGAAAGGGTTTCTGATGCCGCTAGTTAGAGAGAGAAAGTAGAGAGAGAGAGTGATATTGAGAAGAAGGTGACAGACACGAATATGCAGACGTCGATTTTATAGGTGAAAAATAGTGACAAAATAAAGGTAATTTCTTTTTACCTAAGGTTTCCTTTCTTCTCCTTTTTTTCTTTATTAGGGACTAACTAATAATTTCGAAACTGAATTTGTTTTCTTAACCAAAAATAATAAACGCGGTTTTCGACGTGTAACATAATTATTTACCATTTTTTTTTCTTTTTTAGAATTTTAATTAATTAAATTACTATGCGTGTTGGAAATCATAATCGACCATGAAATCGGACCACCATCTCGGTTACGGTTGGGTGGGACTGAACCGGTTCAATCGGGTTTCTGATTTTCTTTAAAAAATATTATGATTTAATTAATTTTAAAGTTTTTAAAATACTATTTTCTTTATAATTTTTTTTTTTTTCATTTACTCTTTTCATGACCGCTCTTGATCGGATTTAGCCACCTACAACTAACTCAATGAAGGTCTGCTCAGATTCAACCACAAACAACAAATTTTGCGGTGGTTTAAATTGTCTTAACTAAAACCTGTATTCCTTGTCTACTTCGTCGATTTATGAGTTTCGATCATTTGACTCGATTTTTAATTTATTTCGATGTAGAGGTCAGATCAAACTACCTTCAGGTTCACGATCAAACCGGTCCGATCGACCAATTAAGTAAACATTGTTTAGTAGTATATCAATATTTTAGAACACTCATACATACATGTTTTCGATTTTTGAAGTACTCTTTATTAAGGGGGCTAATTAAAAAAAAAAAAGAAAAAAAAAAAAAGAAAAAGCAGCAGAATATAACTAACAATAGTACATTGTTGGTTACAAAAAGTGGTCAAAAAATAACCATCGTTAATTATACTATATATTTTATTAAATAACCTAAATTAAATAATGAATCAATTTTTACATAATTAAACTCGATTATTCAACTTTATTTTATTGTGTATTGGTCCTTGGACAATGTTTCAGCTTCAGTTATGGGCCTTTATAGCCCACCGAATCTTTATTTTACTTTATTTACCGAAACGGCCCAACATGCCAAAATATCCAGAGACGACGCCGTTTGGAGAAGGGTAAATTAGTAAATGAAGGAAAGGAGATAGAGAATCCCAAACCCCTAAAAACACAGGGAATTTCTCAATCTCTTATTATTGTTGCCTTCTCTCTCTCTCTACAGTTTTATCTCTCTCTCTCTCATCTGAACTCCGCGGCGTAGATCCGAGGAGTTTCAGATAAACACCGCCGCTAAATCAAAGCTAAACCGCTCTCTTACGTACTTTTTCTTCCTCAGATCTTCGTTCGAGTTGAGTTTTTTCAGGTAACTTTATCAGAACTCAGACCTATAGCTGCTGCAATTTTTTTTAATCTATATGTGTGTAGGATTAGGTATGGTTTTAGTTTTATATATTTTTTTTTGTAGACATGATTTTGATTTGGTAGTTTTATTCGGAGGATCTGTTTATTTTATGTTGTTGCTGAACTTATATTTTTTGGACTATAAAATTAGTTTAAATTTTTGTGTTTTTTGTTATGCGACGTAGTTTTGGAAATTACCTTTTTTTCATGTTGATTTTGTTGTTTGTTTGCTTTAGAACTTCCAGATTTTGCTGTTTCCATGGTTGTTGTTGAACTTCACTTGTGACTTAGTGAATAAATCAGCTAAAAATTGGTGATTTACGGGTTTATGTGTGTTTCGTGGCTTTCTGAAGTTCAATGATATATTGATGAATACAGAGCAAGTGTGAGAAGATTTGCGTGAATCCTACTGTTTTAACTGTGGGCATCTTGTTTCATTTGTTTATCTTTGTTTTCTATTTCCACAGTCATGGCTGACAAAGTACCCGAGGGTTCCAATTTCGATGCTCGCCAGTTCGATGCAAAAATGGATGAGATGTAAGTTCTCTCTTTTGACTGCAATGTTCGGCAATCTGAGTTCTTTATGAACTTTGTTGGTTATTACTTTATTACCCGTGCTATAGTATTTTTCTAAGTGAGTTGACATATTTTTACAGACTTGGTGCTGAAGGCGAGGAATTTTTCACTAGCTATGACGAGGTGTACGACAGTTTTGATGCCATGGGCTTGCAGGAAAATCTTCTTAGGGGCATCTATGCATATGGTATATACCCAATCTATTTAAGAACTTTTTTTGTATTAAATCGTCATGAATTCTTGATGAGGCCTTTCCTGGATATACTTCCGTTGTTATATGCCTTCTCGTTTTCATCCAATCTGATGCAATTGGGTCATATATTCATGTGAATATAAGATGTCTGCACGGATACGACATAATGCCATCTAGTTAATCTCATCTTCTGTTGTTTACTAGCACAAGAAGTTATTTTAGTGCCAATCTTTTTGTGGTTCTTGCTAGAGAATGAAATAACTCGTTTTTCTGTTGTTTTAAAGGTTTTGAGAAGCCCTCTGCCATCCAGCAAAGAGGGATTGTTCCCTTCTGCAAGGGACTGGACGTGATCCAACAAGCTCAATCTGGTACTGGAAAAACTGCAACCTTTTGCTCTGGAGTTTTGCAGCAGCTCGACTATACTTTAGTTGAATGCCAGGCCCTTGTTCTGGCACCAACTCGCGAGCTTGCACAGCAGATTGAGAAAGTTATGCGAGCCCTAGGTGATTATCTTGGTGTTAAGGTCCACGCATGTGTTGGAGGCACCAGCGTTCGTGAAGATCAGAGGATTCTTTCAAGTGGGGTCCACGTCGTGGTTGGTACACCTGGACGTGTTTTTGACATGTTGAGAAGGCAGTCACTCCGCTCTGATTACATCAAAATGTTTGTGCTCGATGAAGCTGATGAAATGCTCTCCAGAGGGTTCAAGGATCAGGTTCTTCCTCTTAGCTTTTGCATTCTGCTTTTTTCGTGCTTTAATCACTTTCACTTATTGTAAATTGATTTAAACTATGTGCCGTTTGTTCTTTCAGATATACGATATCTTCCAGCTGCTGCCACCCAAGATCCAAGTGGGAGTGTTCTCCGCCACTATGCCACCAGAGGCTCTTGAAATCACCAGGAAGTTCATGGCTAAGCCCGTTCGTATTCTCGTGAAGCGTGATGAGTTAACCCTTGAGGGTATCAAGCAGTTCTACGTTAACGTAGACAAAGAGGACTGGAAACTCGAAACCCTCTGCGATCTCTACGAAACACTTGCCATCACTCAGAGCGTCATCTTTGTCAACACTAGGCGCAAGGTTGACTGGTTGACCGATAAAATGAGGGGCCGTGATCACACTGTATCTGCCACCCATGGTGACATGGACCAAAACACGAGAGATATAATCATGCGTGAATTCAGGTCCGGTTCTTCGAGGGTTTTGATCACGACTGATCTTTTGGCACGTGGAATAGATGTGCAGCAAGTCTCTCTTGTGATCAATTACGATCTGCCAACTCAGCCTGAGAACTACTTGCATCGTATTGGTCGGAGTGGAAGGTTTGGGAGAAAGGGTGTTGCTATAAACTTTGTCACTAAAGATGACGAGCGCATGCTTTTCGACATACAGAAGTTTTACAATGTTGTGGTTGAGGAGCTTCCAGCTAATGTTGCCGATCTACTCTGATGTGGGCTTTTGCTGATTTCACCGAGGTTAATGTTTCTTTGTTTTCGAGTAAGTTATTTGCGTTATTTATCTAGGTTAGTTTAACGTGTAATTGACTTGGTAATTTGGGAGATGTGAGTGCCGTTATTTGCAGAGAGGGCTTTCATCTTCCAATATATGATTGCACTGAAGAAACTACAAGTTTTTGGTTTGTTCGTTTTTTTGTTGTATCTGTCGAAAAAAAACTGAAGATTTCGATTTTTATTTGGACTACATAGAGGGTATTTTTACTAGCTTTAATATTATTATTGTTTTGATATTGATGGTGTGTTGGATTTTATTGTTGTTTAGTTTTACATTTCTATTCTTGATTCGTTTGTGGTGCAGGCAAAATAGCAAATACAACCCTTCAGTTGTACAAAGGGTATAATATTCTGTCAAATTATTTTTTTATTATTTAAATTAAAACGTGTGAACTTAACAGAATTACATGTTTGTAAATTATATTGTCCAAGCTGATGATGTTAATTCTTTGCCAGGAAAACAATACAAACCAAATTATTTATGGAGTACATTATGAAAAAAAAACCCAAAATTAGACTAAATTACAAAAGAACGCCTCCATCTATCTGTAATTATTAAAATTTTCCTAAAAGCCAGGATTTTCTGTCTTAGACTAAATTACGAAAAAACCGAACATCAGGGATTTTTTGATAATTTCTTGTAAATGTAATATTGATGCCATGAATTATAGATGTGAGATAATGATTCGGGATTCCCAAAACGGAATCTTGACTGCTCCACAACAATGGTTTCATATTTTAACTATTTTACTATGCTTAATTTGTACCTTTTTATACCTCCTCAATCCAAGATATTTGTATTAATAATTTATTTATTAATCAAGAAATAGTTTCTTAATCTAACATAAATTCATAACTATATTCCAAAATTAATTGAAATTGACTATTTTAAGCTCGTTTATTTTAAAAAGAATCCATCTAATGATTTTAAATATTTTTTCCAAAGTCAAATTATATTTTTAATATATAGAGACTGATTCTCATGATTATAGTAGTGCATTGTCAAAGTCAACCCTAGTTATGATTATGGGCACGTATTATGTTCCAAAATATAATTAAATTCAGATTATAAATTTGGAATTTGATTCAAATTTCCAATATAAATTAGGGCGAATGGCAAAAAAGTCTATCACATGAGACTTAAATGCATTTTGGTCTACAAAAAAACCAGTCTTTCAATTAAATTCATCCTCATGTCTTTAGTCTAAAATACCCTCCATAATATAATTCTTATCAATTCCACCCATTATGCTCTAACTTTCTTAATATTACACATTGACCCCGGATTTAAACAAATATATCACATTAACCCCCAATTTTTTTTTTTCAGAAAATAATTTATTTTCTGAAATGTTTTTTTTTTTTTCCGGCCAGATTGCGACGTTGACTTTTTTTTTTTTTTTTTTTAAATTTATTTTCTTAGAAAAAAAATATTTTAATTAATATTACTATCTTAACTACTAAATTACTGTCTCACACAGTAATATTACTGTTTGGGACAGTAATATGATGAATATTATTTTTCCGAACAGTAATATTATTAATATTATTGTCTAAGATAGTTAAATTACTGTTGGAGACAGTAATTTAGCAGCCAAGGCAGTAATATTAATTATAATAATTTTTTTTTAAGAAAAAAAATAAAAAAAAGTCAATTAACAGTTAAATTACTGTCTCCAATAGTTAAATAACTGCTGGAGACAATAATTTAGCAACGAATACAGTAATATTAATTAAAAATATTTTTTTAAGAAGAAAAAAAGTCAATTAACAGTTAAATTACTGTCTCCGACAGTTAAATAACTGATGGAGACGGTAATTTAGCAACGAATACAGTAATATTAATTAATTATTTTAAAAAAAATCAATTAACAGTTAAATTACTGTCTCCGACAGTTAAATAACTGCTGGAGACAGTAATTTAGTAGCAAAGACAATAATATTAATTAAAATATTTTTGAAGAAAAAAAAAAGTCAATTTACAGTTAAATTACTGTCTCCGACAGTTAAATAACTGTCGGAGACAGTAATTTAGCAGCCATGACAGTAATATTAATTAAAATATTTTTTTTAAGAAAAAACAAAATTACAAAAAAATAAAATAAAAAAAAAAGTCAACGCCGGAGAACGGCGGTCTCCGGCGGTGATCGGCGGTCTCCGATGGTGGCGGGTCAAAATTGGGGTCAAAATTGAAATTAGGGTTAAAATTGATTAATTGGTGAAATTGGGCTAAATTGCGATGTAAATCATGAAATTGGAGTTGAATTGGGTTTCAATGAATTTGATGTAATTTTGATATATATAAAGGGATTTTCCTTATTTGCAAATAAGTTTGAATGAGCAGGATTTATTTGAAAGACAAAAAAATTGGATGTCCCTCTTTTAATTAAGTGCCCTTGTGGCCATTTGCGTTTTACCCTATAAATTAATAAATTAATAAATTCTCAAGTTATTAATATAGAAAAATAGGAAGTCGTGCTGCTTGACTAGTCCAACCTTGGGTTTTCTCAAGAACTTAATCATACATTACAAACACAGACAAAACATTTTCATAATTGAAGAATCAAAAAAAAAAAAAAAAAACTCAAAATGTCAGATTACAAATCAAACTCTCGCAATGAGAGAAATATGCAAATAGAGCCTTACTATGGGACTGCTACAAGGTCAAATAGTTCTTCCACCTCATACTCATACGCAGCAGCACCACCACCACCATCTCCGCCGGTGGTGCCGCCGCCGCAGAAACTGAAGAAAGGGAAGAGCACCGGTGGGTCGACTTCAAAATCATGGAGTTTAAATGATCCAGAGGTGCAGAGGAAGAAGAGGGTTGCTAGCTATAAAGTCTACTCTGTTGAAGGAAAAGTCAAAGGTTCTTTTAGGAAGAGTTTTAGATGGCTTAAAGACAGGTACACACAGGTTGTTTATGGATGGTGGGACTAACTTCAGGGTGGTTATGTTTCTTGATTTTTCGTCGGAAAAATTTAATTTCGATATTTTTTTTTTTGAGGTTTACGGTTACGTTGGATTTAAATCTGCATCATTTATTTTATTTTTTTGGATTAATTTTGCGATATACGCAGTGCAAAATTAACAAAAGATTGCAAAACTACGTGTCGAAGATCAGAATTCGTCACGTGTTTTCTCGTTGCTGTTTGAATAATAATACTCTGGTTTTATGCATTGCTTATGATGCATGTGTTTGTAACTTGTAACTTTTGATGGTAATGGTAGATGGGTGTTTTTTTTTGGGGGAATTTATTACGATATATTTACACATTGTCGAATACGCGTTCATGTAAGTGTGCAAAATATACGTAATTAAGACTTACACGCAGTTGTTTTATATAAGTCGACAATTGTCATAATAATTATCGAAATAATATAGTAAGAAACTGAGATATTATCCATAAACCATACATGTGCAAAGACCTTAATTCCACACTAAACTATGGAAAAAAAAGCAGTTTTACGACTTGTTTTAAGTATTAATTTTACAAGAGAACTTGAAAATCGAGACACGCTTTCTTCAAGGTTCATACCATGTGAGGCTACCCATGATCAAATACTTACCCGGAAGATTTCCGGCAGACGGAGCGAGGTATGTGATTTTCTTGCTGCCAATGTAAGAGAATTCAAACAAGATTGCGTTTATTAGCACCAAAAATTGCAATTTTACTGTTTCGTTAAAGAACAAAGTTCAGTTTCGAACCTTTCAAAGTTGATGTCGGTAATCCAGATGAACCCAGCAACATTACTAGCAATTCGAGAAAGAAAAGAAATACGACGTGAGAATGAATAACTAAATAGAAGTGTTAAAAGGAAACCAATCTCAGTCGAATAATCCAGATTATTTAAATGAAAAAGTTGCTATACCTGGAAATAATTTCATCAGGTTCTTTAGCAAACGAGACGGCTAAAACTAGATGCAACAAATCTTGGTTAACAGTAACTGGAATCAATCTTGTGGGATCTGCAGCCGGTTCTGCACCAACTGGCAGAGCAGAGCGTGGGGCCTGGGGTCCACCACCCACTCGATAAATGTACAAGTCACTGAAACTTACGATGTTAGAATGTGGCGAAAGGTCATTTGCTAGTCCATAGAAATATTCCTGCAGTAAAAAAATTAATAATACATAAATAAATAAAACTCCATCGTTACATCAAATGTAAGTAGTACGAACTAAAGTCACATTTACACGTATTCTAAAGGCTCTGGACTTCTGCCGGACTTTGGCATTCCTAGAGACAACACCACCCGATTTCTGAAGTTTCACCACATCTACGTTAGCTTTGTTTTTCAGAACATCTTTAAGCATGCTCCAAAGTTTTTCCTTGCAAGATCAAAATTCAAGAAGATTAATATTTCTTAAAATATTTATCGCAATTCGTTCAAGTACAACGGCAAGGAACAAATAGATACCTGACCCAAAACAAGAACAACTGTGGCATTCAACGTGTCAATTGCATGCAGCAGCAGCTGTCGGGAGGAGAAAAGAAAAAAAAACACAAAAAGAATAAAGAAAAGAGAGTAAATGAGAAAATCCAGCGATAAAAAAATAATACCAAATTGAAAAAAAATACCTCATAACCAACACCTTCAATCCACCCCATTGTATTAATGACCATGCCCGCAGCTCTAGATTCAACATTTCCTGTAAACTGCTTTTCCAGAGTTTGAGATAGCTCCTTAACCAACACCTTGTAAAGTTCTACATTGGCACTGTTAAGGATCAAACTGAAACGGCGTAAACACTTATGTTTGGGTGTGTTTGGGGAGAGATGGATTATCACGGAAAACAAAAAACAATTAGAATGAAATCGAGAACTGGAAAACAGAGATCTCAATTCCGTTACCTAGGAGTGACATGGCCATGGAAGTAAACTAGAGGCATATCAAGAGGAATTCCTTCGACGGGGTCAATAGGCAGTTCTATCGGTGTAGCGGATATGCATCCAGGTATCGTTATAGATCCTTGGCCAATGTCTAAATCTACAAAAGTAGGTTTCCATCCCTGTTTAGCTGCCCAACTAAGAAGCATCCTTGACAACGTACTCTTTCCAGAATCAGTAGGTCCCACAACAATAACCCTTGGTCCCTGAATAAAGTGACTGGAACCGTCAATTCTACTTATACATCAAAAGTAAGATGTTTTTTCAATAAAATAAACGAAAAAGAAAACGAGGACAGATCACATTGATACTCTTCTTCCTATCCGCCCTGTCAACTTCTTCACAAGAGATATGTTTTCGCAACTACGGTGAGTTGTTGAGTGAATATGCAAATATCAGGAGAGACACACCAAAAGAATACTAAATTATCCCAGAAGAATATATACGATGTAAAAATTAGATCAGTAAAATTTATCCTTGTTAATAGGTTTAGTCATAAGATAACAGTACCTGAGAATCATCAGAATCACTCGGTGAAGCTCTGGCGCGATTTCTTCTAGCATCGAGCACAGCATGTACATTGACATAGCTGATCATGGGTGTCTAGTGAATATACCGAAGATTAGCTAAATCGCTACTAAAATAGCAGTAAAGCAAGACATCTGTGTGTGTGTGTGTGTGTGTGTGTGTGTGTGTGATCATCACATTCTACGTGTTAGAGAACGACAAGAATACCTCGTCTGCTGTATAATCAGTTTCTGTTGTACCATCGATTTCAATTGTTGCACCATACCAAGTAAAAACCTGATGCATCCAATCGAACTCCCAATCAGAACTATGAATTAGCCCTTTACGAGTAAATATAAAGCAAAATCTCAACCTTCAACACACTACACTCATATCTAGGTTAATGGAAGTAAATTCCTCGTAATTTAGTCTGAAATTTAATTACTTTCCCTTCACACGCATACACTAACAAATGCCCCTCATAATTACATTCCTTCGAAAATTTCCTTCACATCCGATTTAAACACAAATAGAAAAATGTTTCTCGTAATTACATTCCTTCAATTTTTTATTGAAATACAAAAATAAAAAAGTACTGTCTCTTAACTCAAATCCAAAGTAATAGTTCAAACATAAACAATCCAAATATATAAATTTTAAAACATATCAAACACTTGCAAGTAACAGAGCAAAGTCTAGGTATGCATACAGCAAATTTGAGCCGGGGAGGAAAATTCAACCAAATCTCCGGCGGAATTTCGGTTCCATAAATCTCGGCGGTACCGTTGAGCACGCGGAGGCGAAGCGGGGAATCAGGACTGACTTCAACTCTCAATTCACATTCTTTGTCCAGCTTCACCTGCCTAACTGTTTTAGAGCCACTCGGTGGCGCCGTCGGAGCAAGGGCGGGGCCGCCATAAGCCATATCAAGCTCTTTCAATGGATCGGCTAAACAAAAAATAAATTAATTAAGAAAGAGATTATACTAAAAATCTTCTGTTCATGTATATCACTGCTGGAAATATCGGCGGCGGCGGCGGCGGGGAAATTGAAGTGGCGAGCGGGAGGTGGAGAGCCGTTTGGGGTTTTTGATTTCCTCCTCTTCGATTCCTTTTCCCCTCTTTTATTTTCCATTTTTCTTCTTTCTTTTTAAACTCTTCATACTTCCCATTCGGCTCTACAGTTTCTTCTATTTCACATAACCCCCTAGAGAACTATAGAATTGCACCAGGGTCCTCAAAGGTTCGGAGGATTTAGATTTAGAATGTTGAATTTAGATATGATGATGCTAATTATTTAGATCACTTGGGGTAGGGTAGAAAACGAGCTAGGAGAGCAAAGCGGATCAATAGCTTAGCAATTTGATGGTCCCGAGGTCCCTGCGAAATGAGCACACGTGAACTATGTTGGCACCAAATTTCCGTTTGTGAAGATTGAAGAAATCCGCCATACGTGGAAATTAAAGATTGGCAAAGATTTGTTTTCCATGTTTATTTTGGAATTAATTAGAGTCCTATTTTTGTAATATTGTTATTAGGACTTAGATTTATTTCCATGTATTATATTCTAGTTAGGTATCTTTTGTACTTATCTAGAATAGAAGTAGAAATCGACTAGGATTCTATTACCTAGTTAATCGATTTCTTAGGGCCCAAGTTAGGTTTAGGGTGGTGGATTTCGTGCCTATATAAGGCCCCCAACCTCATATGAGTCCGATGGAGCTTTAATAAGAAAAATCCCAGCATAAAGGCTTTGAAGGGTGCAGCCCGTGCTGCAGCCCTGTCTGCACGGCAGGTGTGGCAACAGAACAGGGTTCTTCTACCAGACCATAAAGAAGATCGGCGTTTCGGGAGAAGTGCTTAAAAGATCTCGGGAGAGGTCGATCCGCCGTTTGAAGGAAGTTCAACATTGGAGGAAGTCCAAGAGTGCGGAGGAGGAATTGCTTTGATTATCAACAAGTTCGAGTCGTGTGCAAGAACGGCGTATCACATAAAGAGGGAGTCTTTAGTGTTTTATTAAGTCCTATTAATGTACACATAAATCTGAACTAGTTTTGCAAGTCCTCGTGGATGTAGGGTACGTTTGTATCCGAACCACATTAAATTGTTGTGTTCTTTATTCTGCTTTTCGTAAATTTTGTTACTGTGACAACACAACAATTCTGTTACGTCACCTAATGTCGTAACATGTAGTCTGTCTCAACAGATGAGTGGACTTTGATAGGCATTCAAATTCAACAAACTAAGTTGGGGGTTGATCCGGCAGAAACCCCTACGGATTGTGAAGATGGTAGAGAGAATAAAACTCTAGATTGCTTGTGAATCATAGAACGTACCTTAAGGAATGAGTTCAAACCTTTATTTATAGCTTAGATGAGATTGTTGGGCCCAATCCTTACTTGGGCCTCGGTGATAGTGGTCTTCAATATTAGGCTCATGGCCTAGTAGGTAAATAATTTGTAGGCCCACTAGGTTGGCCCAATTAGGCATATCATTAAGCCCCCCACTCTCGAGTCGATGTGGGGGCCATGTCGGAATGGATTTCAGATCGTGTCGAGAGTAGAAATTGTAGTAGTCGCTCGTTGGCGTATGGAGCTGATGGTGTGCGAAAATGTGTTGGAGCATGTGTCGGAGGGGCGCGAAGGCGCGTTGGCGCGTAGTGCAACCAAGTTGTCGTGATATTAGTTACTTGAGTCGTCGGTGTTGTCCCGCGACGATGTAGTAGCGCGGATCGAGTTATCTCCTCGTGGGAGTTGTTATTTATTGACGTTGTCAATGGTTTGACGCGTTGCTTGTATGTGTTTACATATAGCCTTGTGCGTGATGTACTTGATGAGTGGATCAGGCTCTCAAGATTTGTTGATGGGGATCGTGCCCCTTGTTAGACCTCGTGGGTCGTAAGTATGTTTGGATCGTGGCCACGTTTTAATGAAGGACCCGTCGAAAACAAATAGATAAATTTGAGTAATCAAGCTGGCCATGCTCTATAGATTCTCATAATATCTCTAAGTGTTTCTAGGGTTGCAATCGTGCTAACTTGAGCTTGCGATTATGTAGTGAATTGTGAGCGAGTTGTGTCTTCGAGAGAGTTGTCTTGCAGCGAAGTTGTAGGAGCATTGGATGACGCGCGACTGAGGAGCGTGCGGATTGAGGTTGCTCTGAGCGAGTTGTCTCCTCGTGGGAGTTGTCTCGCAGCGAGTCTTATTATCGAGCGAGGTGGTTGCACGTGGGAGTTGCCTTGCAACGGATTTGTAGTATCGAGCGTGTTGGCTCCTCGTGGGAGTTGTCTCGCTGCGGGTTGTGGTACCGAACGAGTTGGCTCCTCGTGGGAGTTGTCTCGCTCCGGGTTCGTAGTACCGAGCAAGTTGGCTCCTCGTGGGAGTTGCCTCGCTGCGGGTTGTAGTACCGAGGGAGTTGGCTCCTCGTGAGAGTTGCCTTGCAGCGGGTTGTAGGACGGAGCGAGTGGTCTCCTCGTTTAGGAGTTATCTCGCTATGGGTTCGTAGACCCGAGGGAGTTGACTCCTCGTGGGAGTTGTCTCGCAACGGGTTATAGGACCGAGCGAGCTATCTCCTCGTGGGAGTTATCTTGCTGACCGAGCGAGTTGTCTCCTCGTGGGAGTTGTCTCGCTGCGGGTTGTAGGAGCGAGCGAGTTGTCTCATAGTGGGAGTTGTCTCGCAACGAATTTGTAATGCCGAGCGAGTTGGCTCCTCGTGGGAGTTGTCTCACATCGAGTCTTATTACCGAACGAGGTGGCTCCTCGTGGGAGTTTCCTTGCAACGTGTTCGTAGTGCAGAGCGAGTTGGCTCCTCGTGGGAGTTGTCTCGCATTAGAGAGTTCAGATTGCAATTGTGGGCATTCTGAGTGAGGATTTTGTATGTGCACCTTAGTCTCCTTTGTATTCTTTGTGGGAATTAATATAAAGGTTGGGCATCGCCCGTAAACGTGCTTATGTGTTTGTTTTCCGCTGCATACTCTTGTTCTCGTTTACGTTGGCTTAAAAAGGACTTGTGTTTGTGCGTTTTGTTCGAAGAGAATCGAGAGGAAGGCTGACTGATTTGGTGGGCAAATCAGGCCGCACGGGCGAAAATTTCTTGAGCAAAAAAACCCCTGTGACAGTACTACAAATTTTACTCTCGACACGATCGAGAACCCATTTCGACATGGCCCCCACATCGAATCGAGAGTAGGGGGCTTAATGATATGCCTGATTGGGCCAACCCAATGTGCATATAATTTGTTTACCTAATGGGCTACGAACCCAATATTTAAGACCACTATCACCGATGCCCAATCACCTTCAAGTACGGTTTGGGCTCGACAATCTCAACTAAGCTATAAATAAAGGTTTGAACTCATTCCTTAAGGTACGTCCTATTAACTGAGCAATACTATAACATGTATTCTCTGGACTATTTCTATGATCAGCACGTCTGACTTGAGCGTCGGAGGGGTTTCCGCCGGATCAACCCCGGCCTAGTTCACGTATTCTGTGATCGCAGGTATCTCAAGGTCATCAAGCTCGTGAGCCAGTGGTCCACTCTGCTCTTCCAGCTCATCCTACTTCAACTATCTAAGGTGATCTATCTCTAGCATCTTCAAGATACATTTATATCCTTGGGCTTTGAGGTACGATTAGGGGTAAAAATTGGAATAAAATTTTCTATTTTCGTCGGTTCTAATCTGAATACATAATTTTTGCATTTCAGACTTCCAAAATTTCTATCTCCAAGTTTTTTTTCAAACACTAAAAAACTGATAATCACTTTGGAAAAACATTTGCAAACACCACCTTAAAATTATATAAAAATAATCTGAAAATTAAAGTTGTAACAAATTTATTTTACCATGCCAAATTATGAAGAAAAAATGTGAATTTTAATGTGGGCTTTGATGTAGACTTTGACCATTATGGGCCTATTTGACCAACTTGGGCCTTATTGCATACTTGATAGGGCTGATTAAGCTCCTTAACTTGAGCTAGTTTGGGCCTTACAGCCCATCAAGTCGTTTATTGTATTGACCAAGACTTGAAAACTTGACCGAAATACGAAATTCCTCGCCCCCATCCCTTAACCAGACAAGTCTTTTTATGAATGAACTTTTTTTATGAATGAATGTAATTCATGGTGACTCAACGACTCATTACGGTAGCGGACCTGATTCTAGTGCCCACAAAGAACCAATCCTTATTGGAATAGAAATTCTCACACTGCGGCTGCCAATACTCGATTCTAGGAATTGCACCAACTTACCACCCTCGGAATCAGTTGACTTATACCCACGCATGCAAAGTGATACTGAAAACTTGTCTTATTGCGCAGAGGTTCGCGGTTCAAATAATTTATTCGCACTACGCACGTACCACATACTAGCGAGTCCAGCAAAAAAGAACTACTCTTGATAAGCTCGACCTAGAAAATATTGACCGCAAACTAATTACGTCGTGTCACTCTTTCATGCTCTTTGAAAGTACTTGAAGAAGCACATGAAAGATGCTAAAATATCTGTCTCTGTTAGTTTGTCCCACATCGAAAACTTATTTGAATTGTCTCTATTTAATGTTTGACAGATGTTTGTGTTATTACCCTTTTGTTTGCACAAAAGAAGGAATGTACGATATGCCGCTTCTTTCAAATGCGCCTCTTTTAAAAACAATTGTCAGAAATATTCCAAACACGTTTTTAATGTTAATTACAAATTTCTGTTTCTTTCCATTTAACAACTCTACCTATGGATGGACCCCTTCAAACTTTCCACAATTCTAACTCTTTTTTTTTTTTGACCTTTCACCAAAAGAAAGGTTGTTGTAAGGTACAATGGGAGGGCCCCTTCACCGAGGCATTTTACGTATTTTTCGGATCGAAAATCGTCATCCAATTTTTTTTTGTTTTTTTTTTAACTTGAATAAACGAGGGAGAGTAAATCGACAAACTGTATGTAATCACTCGAAAATAGTGGTGTAGTCATGCAAAAGAAGAATTCAAAATCACAATGTAACAGCCTCAATCAACACACTTAGCAATCGGAATTAATCGCATCGAATAATCTATCTGATGAAACGGCCTACCACGAAATAAAAAATTCAAAAAAAAAAAAAAATCCCATCATGTCTTTCGTTCGGTTGGATAAGTACCTAGTTGCTCCATCTGCCAGCTTTCGTGCGGGGCTACATTATCATCAAACGGCGCGTATTCCTGCATAATTTAAAATATCAAGAAAATTAGTTGCCGTTTTTTTCACTTCCTCGGAGGATTAACTTGGTGGAATAATGTCTTGTCAACTGCATTTCAAGAAAGCTTCGATGGTGTTACGGTCTTATATTAATTGCATTTGAAGAAACCTCGTATTAGTACTACTACTATTTGGACAACCTTAAACTTCGGCGAAACTCGAAAGCAACATATGTAATATAGATCGATTAGAAAATTTTCAAAAACCCTATTCAGCCAAATTATAGCATAACAAACTCCCAAAATACGAAAGAAAAAGAACATACATTTTAATCGCACTCGGAATTAATAATTCAATAAATTACCTCCATTTTGGTTAAAAGCTCGTTCGCAGTAGGAGCTGAAAGAACAATGTGCCTAGCACTTGGCTTTATGAAGCCTTCTTCGACACCCTTATCGAATAATGTGAGCAAAGAGTCGTAATACCCGTCGATATTGAGCAAACCAACCTATCGATATTAATCGTTAAATATCCAAAAAAACAAAACAAAAATAACAAAACTTCTTACAACCTTCAAAAAAAAAAGGACAGATGCATCACCGGTTTTTTGTGGATTCCTAATTGCGCCCAAGTTATCATCTCCAACAACTCTTCCATAGTTCCATATCCTCCTGAAAAAAAATCGAAAAATATAGATACAACAAAGCTATATAAATTAGTACAAGAATTATACAAACTCATCAAGAACACATTTTTATTTTATTCTTTACCAGGAAGTGCAATAAACGCCTCAGCCACACGAGCCATTTCAGCTTTACGCTCATGCATATCAGAAACGACCTTCACTTCTCCAACGGGTTCACCCGATATCTGCCGATTGAAATCATAAATAATATCATTTTTTTTTCTTTTCGAAAAAAACGAAACAAATCCCATTATTTGGAACTAGCATTACTCAAATCCTATAAGGTATCAATTAAATTTCACATATATACCTCAATGGGAACAAGAGCTTTGGGAATTACTCTGCATGTGAAAACAAAAGGAATCGAAATTAACGAATAGGATATTATCGAAAACATCGAATATTTTATTTTTCGATAGAATTTTCTTACCCAAGAACATGGCAACCACCATCATAAACTCTCTGGGAAATTAATCCCATTAGCCCAACACTTCCACCTCCATAAACTAAGTCTATCGTCCTATTCACCTACAATAATCATCACAATTTTTACCATAAAAAATAATAAAAAACCAACACAACAAACCAATCTCAACCCACAAAATCTTCAGACAAAGTATATATAAATCAGGTCAATCCTTGAAATAAACCAAAATTCAATATTTCAATCAAAGATTGACTTTTTTTTTTGATAAATTCAAAGATTGACTTTTTATTATCAAGAAAAATGAAAAAAAATAAATAAATAAAAACAAACCAGTTCATTTCCCAAATGAATAGCAGCATCGCTGAAGACTTTTCTGTGGCCAGGGTGGCTTCCACAGAATACACAGATTTTCTTGAATTTGCTAACCCTCCTCGAATTGCTCTCCATTTTGCCTCAATTTTTTTCTTATTTACCCAAAAGAAGAATAAAAATACAATCTTTTTCACCTGTATGAATGGAAGTAAATGTGAAAAATATAATATATATTATCAACTGTATAAACCCATATGTGAAAAGAGATGAAATAGAAAAACACAGGTAATCTGAATATTTCTTGATTTAAATTAATAAATCAACTGCGCAAATCAGAAGGAATTTAGTGTGTGTGTGTGTGTGTGTGTTTCTGCAAAACATTAGCAGCCCACATACTCCAATTGTCGGCTTCCAATTTTTGATTAAAGATTTGTGTGTGTGTGTGTGTGTGTGTGTGTGTGTGTGTGAATGAGTATAAATTATTGAATAAATAAATGAAAAGATCCGATTTTGGAAAAGCACTTGATACATTGCACTTACTACTTTGATTACTTCCTTTAATCTATTCAATAATAACGCTTTTAGCTCTAATCTTGTATTTCTATTATCTGTATTTGATATTCAAATTTGTCACTAGTCTTTACAAAAACTTAGTTGAAAATAAAAGTTAGCGATTGCGAGTTAAATTGAATGATGGTACCTTCTTAAATGATGTTAGTAAAATTGTATTTGATATTCAAATTTGTCCATTAGTATTTGCAAAAAAATATTTAAAATTAAAAAGTTGATGATTATAAGTTAAGTTCAATGATATTGAATGGTGTTAATAAAATTAAAATGACATTTAATATTTCAGTTTTAAAAATGGCACTTGATTCGGGATAAAATGATCAAATTGTTCATATTGGAATTAATCATACACAAAGCCTCTATTGGAATTAGGATTAAGCTTGTAATTAAAAAAAGGGGCCGGATGTATGCAAGCCTATTTTTTTATTAGTTCAAACACACATAAAGCGGTTTATTAGTTCAAACTCGTAAATTAATCTAATCTTATTACATCAAGACCAAAGAGGATGAATATAGCCTTATCCACAAATAATACCCAAATACATACAAACTCTATTTTTAATTTGTTCAAGACCAAAAAATTAAAAAACAAAAATAAAAAGAAACAAAAAACTCACAACTGCCTGCGAGACCGCCGCAACGCCGACCAGCGAGGCTTCCACTGCCCCAACGATGACCAGCGACCCATCCATCGCCCCACCACCAAGTAAATTCGTTTTACACTTTTACTAAACTTTTGTTTGTAAATTCTAAAATATTAATCGATTCTTCATAAATATGCGTGGATGAATATTAATCTATGCTTATTTCTTGTTGGGTTGCAATGCTTTAGTCGATTTTAGAAAACAAATGAGATTGAAATTAATTGTTTTTGTGTGTTTTTGTTGGTTTTCCAAATCGGTTTACTCAGACCGATTTTGTACACGAAAATCGGCGTCGTAATGCCGATTTTTATTAACAAAAATGGCGACACAACGTCGACTTTACAAGTAAAAATCGGCGTTGTAATGCCGATTTTTTATTTTTTTTACTATTTTGTGTTTTTTATTTGATTTTGAATTTCATTAAAAATAAATTGGTATTTTTATATTGCAGGTCTTGAACTAATAAAAAAATGAGCTTGTAAATATCCGCCGTATAAAAGTACGAGAGCAAAAATTAAAATGTGCAGGTTTTGTAGACCAAAGTCAATCTAATTAATATACATATTTATATGTTTTTATTATTCGTTAATTTTGTTAAATTAAATTATTATATTTGAAACCGTAGTGCTTATAAATTATAACTACTGAAATAATGGGCCCATGAACCGGTTCGATGGGCCGGGCCTTATATGCTAACTCATGAGTCATGCCAACAAACCTAAGGGCCCAAACGGCTCCCACGAACCCCGACTGTTTAATTCAAATTTGAAAAAATAGAATTTTATATATATATATATATATAGTGAATAAATTAATTAAACTCTACATTACAAATAAATGAAGCCTTTATAGCAAATATATTATGGGCTAACAACAAAATAGCCCATAACAAGGGCACTAATTAAAAAATTGATATTCAATTTTTTTGTTTTTTATAAATATTTATAGCTCATTCAAACGTATTTGCAAATTATTGAAATTATTCCTAATTTATTGAAATTCAATTAACTCCAATTTTACGATTTACATCCCAATTTAGCTCAATTTCATCAATTAACCAATTTTGATCATAATTTCAATTTTGACCCCAATTTTGACCCACCACCACAGGAGACCGCCAGTAAGCCGTCGTTGACCACCGGTGTCCGAAGTTAATTTTATTTTTCTTAAAAAAAATATTTTTAATTAATATTACTATCTTGGCTACTAAATTATTGTATCCAACAATTATTTAACTATCTCATACAGTAATTTGACAGTTAATTGACTTTTTTTTTCTTACAAAAAATATTGTAATTATTATGTTTTTGTTGTTAAATTACTGTATCCAACAATTATTTAACTGTTGGAGACAGTAATTTAACTATTAATTGACTTTTTTTTCTTAAAAAAATATTTTAATTAATATTACTGTCTTGGCTGCTAAATTACTGTCTTCAACGGTTATTTAACTGTTAATTGACTTTTTTTTTCTTATAAAAAATATTTTAATTAATATTACTGTCTTGACTACTAAATTAGTGTCTCCACCAGTTATTTATCTGTCTGAGAGACAATAATTTAACTGTTAATTGACTTTTTTTTCTTAAAAAAATATTTTAATTAATATTAATGTTTTTGCTGCTAAATTACTGTCTCCAGAAGTTATTTAACTGTCGGAGACAGTAATTTAACTGTTAATTGACTTTTTTTCTTAAAAAAATATTTTAATTAATATTACTGTCTTTGGCTGCTAAATTACTGTCTTCAACGGTTATTTTACTGTTAATTGATTTTTTTTTTCTTATAAAAAATATTTTAATTAATATTACTGTCTTGACTACTAAATTAGTGTCTCCACCAGTTACTTAACTGTCTCAGAGACAATAATTTAACTGTTAATTGACTTTTTTTTCTTAAAAAAATATTTTAATTAATATTAATGTTTTTGCTGCTAAATTACTGTCTCCAACAGTTATTTAACTGTCGGAGACATTAATTTAATTGTTAATTGACTTCTTTTTATTTCTTTTAATTTAGTTTTTTATTCAAAAAATGACTATTTTAATTAATATTACTGTCTTGGCTGCTACCAACAGTAATTTAACTGCCTGAGACAGTAATATTGTGAATATTATTTTCCCGAACAGTAATATTACTAATATTATTATTATTATCTCAAACAGTAATATTATTGCATGAGACAATAATATTACGGGTTTGGGACACTAATAATACTGTTCGGGAAAATAATATTCATAATATTATTGTCCCAAATATTATTGTCTGGACAATAATTTATCAGCCAAGACAGTAATATTAATTAAAAGAATTTTGTAAGGGTAAATCACAAAAAGGCCCATGACAAGGGCACTTAATTAAAAGAGGAACATCCAACTTTTTTGTCTTTCAAATAAATCCAGCTCATTCAAACTTATTTGCAAATAAGAAAACTCCTTTTATATAGACCAAAATTACCCCAAATTCATTGAAACTCAATTCAACTCCAACTTCATGATTAACCAATTTTAACCATAATGTCAATTTTGACCCCAATTTTGTCCCGCCACCACCGGAGAACGCCGTTGACTTTTTTTTTTTTTTTTTTTTATGGAAAACATTTTTTCCCTGAATTTTCCAGTCAACTACCGTTGACCGCCAGGTCTCCGGCGTTGACTTTTTAATATTTTTTTCTTTTTTATAATTGTGTTTTTTCTTAAAAAAAAATATTTCAATTAATATTATTGTCTTGGCTTCTAAATTACTGTCTCCGACAGTTAAATAACTGTCGGAGACAGTTATTTAACTATTAATTGACTTTTTTTTTCTTCAAAAATATTTTAATTAATATTACTGTATTTGTTGCTAAATTACTGTCTCTAGCAGCTATTTAACTGTCGGTGACAGTAATTTAACTGTTAATTGACTTTTTTATTCTTAAAAAAATATTCTTAATTAATATTACTGTATTCGTTGCTAAATTATTGTCTCTAGTAGTTATTTAACTATCGGAGACAGTAATTTAACTGTTAATTGACTTTTTTATTCTTAAAAAAAATATTTTTAGTTAATATTACTATATTCGTTGCTAAATTACTGTCTCCAGCAGTTATTTAACTGTCGGAGACAGTAATTTAACTGTTAATTGACTTTTTTATTCTTAAAAAAAATTAGTTAATATTATTGTATTCGTTGCTAAATTACTGCCTCCAGCAGTTATATAACTGTTGGAGAGAGTAATTTAACTGTTAATTGACTCTTTTGTTTTAATTTTTTGCTTAAAAAAAATTATTTTAATTAATATTACTGCCTTGGCTGCTAAATCACTGTCTCCACCAGTAATTTAACTGTCTTAGACAATAATATTAATAATATTACTGTTCGGGAAAAAAATATTCATAATATTACTGTCCCAAACAGTAATAATAATGCCTGAGACACTAATTTAGTAGTCAAGACAGTAATATTAATCAAAATATTTATTTCTAAGAAAAAAAAAGTCAACGCCGGAGATGGGCAGTCAACGGTGGTTGACCGGCCCGAAAAAAATTCAAGAAAAAAAAAGTTTTCAAAAAAGAAAAGAAAAAAGTCAACGCCGGAATCTAGCCGGAAAAAAAAATAAGAAAACAAATTTATTTTCTGAAAAAAATAATTGGGGGTTAATGTGATATATTTTTTTAAATCCGGGGTCAATGTGCAATATTAAGGAAGTTAGAGCATAATGGATGGAATTGATAAGAATTATATTATGGAGGGTATTTTAGACTAAAGACACGGGGATGAGTTTAATTGAGAGAATGTTTTTTTTTTTGCGGACCAAAATGCATTTAAGTCCCATGTGATGGGCATTTTTGCCATTCGCCATTTTTTTTTAAGAAAAAACAAAATTTCAAAATAAAAACTCAACTTCGGAAACCGGCGGTCAGCTGTGGTTGACCGATCGGAAAACAAATTCAGAAAAAAAAAGTTAAAAAAAAAAGTCAACGACGGAATCTAGCCGAAAAAAATACAGAAAAAATTACTTTTTGAAAGTAAATATTTTTTTCAAAAAATTATAAAAATGGGGATTAATGTGATATATTTGGTTAAATCAGTGATCAATGCGTAATATTAAGAAAGTTAGAGTATAATGGATTAAATTGATAAAAAAATATATTATGAAGGGTTTTTTTAGACTAAAGACATAGGGATGAGTTTATTTGAAAGATTGTTTTTTTTATGGATCAATGTGCATTAAGTCTCTTGTACGTCATGTCCATTTTTACCATTTGCCCATATATTATTTATAGATAATTAAATTAATTGTTTCTAAACTTCAAATAAAAATGGAAAAACTTTGAAATATAAAAACAAATACATATTTAAACCAAATAAGTTGCACGATAGTGATTATATCATCAAACACAAGTAAAAAAGAAACATCATAATTCATAAAAATGAGAGTACTTCTTCACACTATCAGTACTTTATTCTTGATAATTTCCTCCATACTACTATCATCGTCTTCAATAAACAATGACACACTCACGTACGCAGCGAAACCAAACACAAAAGTAATAACAGAGGAATTCATTAACAACATTTGCTCGAAATCATTGGATCCGACCCTATGTATGGATGTCTTGAAAAACCAAATTGGGCATCCTCTTGACAAGACAACACTTTCAACCTTAGCCACAATACCAATCACTTTGGCCGAGTCTTGTACCAGAGAAGCAAAAAGTATTACGAGTAGATCGTGGTATCCTGGCCGTCCTACCCGACAAAAAGATCTGTTTTTAAGGTGTTACATGGGATATGGAAATGTCATGGTACATATCCAAGAAGCAAGGAAATATGCGATAAAAAATAATAAGAGTAAAGTCAAAAGACATGCATCTGGGGCCATAAAACTGATCAATGCTTGTGACCAAAGCTTTGTTGAACCACGACCGATACCACAACCACTCATTATGAAAAATGTTAATAAAAAGCTTATAGCCCTTTGTAGTATAATCATAGCTTTAATTGATTAATTGAAAATTGTAGTGAGATAGTACTCCTAATGAGCACCAAAGTATGTTAATCAATATATATGTAATAGAATGAATGATATATGTGAATTATTAGAATTAAAATGTGAAGATTATTTATTCCAAACTCAACTCTTGTAATCAATCATAAATTCTAATTTTACTCGTGGGTATTAAATTTTATTTTTATGCTTAAAAACATTATTATATGCTAAAAAGTTCTCTATAGCTCAATTCACTTGGTAAAACAATTCTGAAAAAAAAAAAATTTAAAAATTGGGCCTTGTTTTAGTACCGTTTAGATTTAAAGAAAAAAATAGGTCAACTTTTCAGCCCAATAAAATATTAGAAAAAGATAAAAGGGTTTCTGTGTATTGACTTGGTTCTGAGCACGACTTTCAAATATTATTATCTAATTAAAATTGTAATATTAAAAATTGATTAACTAATACAACGGATTAAGAGGTTGCTTGGCTAAGTTTATAATATGTTTTACAGCTTATAAGCTTTTCAAAAATGTTTGATTATATTTAAAAAAAAATCTTATTTTTTTTTAAATAAGTTGTTAGAGAGCAAATAAGATATTTTTTAAAAAGTATATATACCCCCACCTTTTTAGATGTAACATCTTATTAGACGTAAAAACTTATCAGCTGTTTAAAATAAGCTTAGCCAAACACCCTCTAAATAAAGGAAAGATATTATTAGACAAACCCTATATTAAGATGATATTAAATGCTTATTTATAGAAAATTACAGATGTTTTTATTATATATATATATATATATATATATATATATCACTAGCCACTTGAATGATGTCATTCTTAATTAAATTCAGTATAATATAACCTCGATTGCAAGTAAATAAGGTTGTGACTGCTTACAAACCGGAAGTGATAAATATTATTTTGATTTTAAAAGTGATTCTGACCACTCCTCTAGTAGGAATTTGTCAAAATTCGAACCTCAAAATTTGTAATCCTTTGACTTTCAAATATTATTGAATAAGTAAAATTGGGTTTCCACTCACATAGGGGTGAGCAAGTCGGACCCATCAACCCGCTACACCCGTCAAACCCGTGAAAAACCACCCCGTTGGGACCGGACGGATAGATTCATCCATAGGATTGGGTCCTAAAATGGTGAAGAACCGTGGGTTCGGGTCTTAGACGGGTTCCATTTTTTTTAATACACGTGAAACCCGTCCCGCCCCGCCATACAAAACGACGTCGTTTTATTTACATTATATAGTATAATAAATTAATAATATTAATGAATAAATAAAGTATCTCTAGTGTATCAAATACATAAATCAACTAAACTATAATTGTGGAAGTAATAGCTATAAATATTATGAAAATCTCTAAGAAAATGTAGGAAAAAAAGCATATATATACAACGGTCAACACACGGCAAAAAAAAAAAAAGGAAGAAAATGGTGTTGAATGGAGCTGAATAGCGTTGGTTATGCTTGAAAAAACTATATTTATTTTATTTAAATTTTGTCTTTTAAGTTATGAATTAGTTATTTTTAGTTTTATATTAATTTTTATTTACTCTTGACATTTACATTATTTATGTTTGGTTTCAATTTAAAATTTTAGGTTATTCATTTTAGTTTCTAATTATTCTCCCGTAAAACTTATAAATTATATATATAAAAAAAAAATAGTTTAGACGATAACGGGTTTCGACCCGTAAAGGTTGGGTCCTACTACAAACCCGCCATGGACTCGTCTATCGTAAACCCGTTAAAAACCCACAAGTTTGGTTCTTCAAAATCAATAACCGTTGTTTGACGGGACGAGGGCGGGTTTTGATAGAACCCGCGGGTTTATGGCCCGCGCACACCCCTACACTCACATGTATAATATACATGAATACAAATGGACCCTTAAAAATAAATTAAGTATAGATAAACTTGAGCATTGAACGCATAAAGATAAGTCTTATTTATAGATAATACAATTCATTGCTTCTTTACTTCAAATAAAAATGGAAATTTTAAAATTTGAAAACAAATACATATTTAAACCACACAAGTTGCACACTAGTCGTTATATCATCAAATCGAATTTAAAATATCAAAATAAATAAATAAATAATCGTAATCCATAAAAATGAGAGTTCTTCACCCTATCAGTACTTTATTCTTGATAATTTCCTCCATACTACTATCATCGTCTTCAATAAACACTACAAAAAAATGTACTTTTTGTGACAATTTATTGTGACGAAAGTAGAATTCGTCACATCAATAACAAGTTTATATGACGAAATCAGATGTCGTCTCATTAAGTAATGTTTTATGAGACAAAATTTTTTTCGTCACATTAAGTTCGTCTTATGTGACAACATTATAAATTCGTCTTGAAAAGAAATGTCTGACTCATTCCAACGATTGGTGCACCCGTTTTAGTGATAACATTTAACTGTTTTATGACAAAGTAATTTCGTCACATTCATTTTTTATTGTGACAACATTACTTTTGTCACAAAACCAAATAATTTATAATTAAATATAAATTTAATTATAAATCTTATACAATTAAATCTTTTGTCATTTAGCAATTCAATCTATTATTTTGCATCCGTCTCTTGTTATTTTTCTCTCACCATTTTCCTTCCACTCCCTCTCTCGTTTCGTTTGTCGCCTCCGCCACCACCGCAGTGTTTCGCCTGTCGCCTCCGCCACCACCGCCAGCCTTCCGCCGCCTCCGCCACCACTAGCCTCTCAATCGATTCAAGTTAGGTAATTTTGTTGTTCTCAATCTCTAACTCTAGCCTCTTTACCTCTGCTCATCTGTCATTTTTTTCTCCCCCAATCTGCAACCGAATGTTAGGATTTTGGTTAGAAGTGCGTAAACTGGAGTTTTTGAGCCTCTACATCTACACCACTGTTATTTTCCTTCTCTCTAATTCTGAAATCTAATGTTAAGGTTTTGGCTAAAAGTTCGTAAACTGATTTTTTTTCCTCAAAATTAAATTAAGGATATCTAATTAAATTCTCAAAATTCATTGAAGAATTCTTCGGTGTTTGAATCTAAATTAGGTTTTCTGAATCAGAATTATGGAGTTTTCTGGTATGGTGCTTCAATGGAAGTGTAATAATGAAGCCCTAAAGGAAGAAATGAAGAGTGAAACGAGCATAGATAAAAATTGAAGTGCATAGATGGAATCCCCCTGCTCTTGTTTACTATTAATTAATTCTCTTTAGCCCAAATACTTTTGTGTTCTCCTTTGTTGGTTCATCTGCTTCGCTGATGTCCGTTGAAATCGGCATTGGCTTTACTGACTGTCTCTAAGTTATTGTATGAATATACTTATGGTTTACTTATATGAACTTTTGGTTTGTTTGATTGACTAATTAAGATGAACCGAGGATTAAAAAGCGCAAAAGCAAGGAAGATGACGAAAAACACAAATCTAACAAAAATTTCCAAGCGCCAATAAGAAAGGTATTTTCCAATACCTGAATTCCATTTAAATTGGGGTTAATATGATATTTGTTAAAACCTTGGCATGCAAAAAAGACCTCTTCAGCTAAATAATGGTAAATGAACCAACGGTACAAAGCTAAAGAAGAAACAACAGAGGGGGTAGGCTAAAGAAGAAAGAACAGAGGGGGTAGGCGAAATGTTAACCGTTAATACACGCGCCTGTTTCTCTTATTCAAATTCCAAGGTAATGATTTTTCATTTGCAGTCTGTTTAATTTCGATTTGGTTTTCTTCTTTGATGTCGATAATTTGATAGAGATTGGGCAATTTCTATCCCTAATTTCTCTCTTAAGATGGGATTCACTACACACCAGCTTCTGCAAAGGTACTCTCTTTCAGACTTTGAATGTAAGAAAATTGATTGTTGTCTGTTAGATGAGTCGAGTCGAAATCGATGTAAATATCGAGTCGTTTTTTCCGTAACTAATGTTGATTGTTAACTTCAACTGTGAAAATATGTGATATCTCCGCATAGATTAGTTACCGATGCTTTCTCTAATGCTGGAGTACTGCAAATGCAGGTGTATGGGTTGTCGTCGTATCAGGTGCAAAAACGAGCGACGATTATGCAATTAATTGCTAGATAATATTCTATGTTCTTTTTCGAACTAATGACTCCTTTGGATTGTGTTGTTACACCAGGTGTCGATGGCGTCGAAGTTTCTTCTTCTTCTTTGGTTGAAGAGTTCAGTTTTACAACCACATCTTCTGACAAAGACGACGAACTAAAGGTGGTGAATACTCTAATAGTTTTCTCATTATGTTGATAGTTAGTAATGACTTCTTTCTTTTCGGGTTTTTTTTTTCTTTTTTTTTTCATGGTTCCTTTGCAGATCACTGTAGAGGTTTCTGGAACCAAAATGCAAGAAATATATGATAAAGTTTTTGCCAAAATGTAGAAATAATTTTTTTTTTCGTTTTCCTAATGTAGAATATACCTTCTTGCAGATACCGAAAGAGATTCCTTTGGAAATTCTAGGCCCGTCGAAAGTGTTCCACCAAGTTATTAAGAAAGTGATAAGCATTGCAATTGCTAAATATGTAGCTAAGGTATATATGCTGCTGCCTTTACTCGACTGCATATTCATCGAATGGGGTTATTTTATATAATTATAATTTTCTTGAAATTGCAGGAAGGTTTGAAAGTTGGTAAAGATTTACAAATCTTTAAATGGAATTCAGGTCTTGGATTGTTGTAAAGTTTCCGACTTGTTTGGTAATTTTAAACAGAAGAAGACTTAGTCTATATTAGCTTGGGCATTCAACGTGGATTTGTATTTGTTCTAAATTATCTCACATTTTGCTTAGGAAAATTAGTAACTGTGCTAATAAGTTTTCTTTTGGATTGGGATATTCGGCTCCATATTAAATTATTTTTCATTTCCATTACTTGTTATGGTGGCCTTGAAATTTTAACCAATTCGAATTTCTTGCTTCAGATAACAAGTTGAGTGGGAAACGTAAAGACAAAAGTTGAAGCATGATAATTCTTCAATTGTGAGTTTCTTGCTAAACTCTATATACCTCGAAAAGTGTTTGTGCATGTCAGCGGGTGATGAATTGATTATAATTCAATCTGAATCGCCTGTGTAACACCAAAATTCATAACTAACACAAAATTTTAGATAATAGTTTTAATTAATGTCATCTCTGGTTCTCTTTGCAGAAAGAACAACACTGTGGGATTTCTCCTCTGCTACAAAATCAAAATCACTTATGGTGGTATTGTAGGGGCATGCACCTTGGTCCCTTTCTAAGATTTAACTTACTATGCATAAAGTTAGTGTGTAAGTATAGTTGTCTAATTATTGATTTTCCCTTTGCAGAATAACAAGCAAGGAATGAGCCTTTAGCGGGATGGATTGAGTAGAACCAATCACTTTCTTACTCAAGGTTTCTCTTCATTGTACGGTTTGTATGGATTTCAGATTTCTTAATACTTTTCGTATTCATTATACAATATA